GTCCAAGTAAATGTTTCATGGCATTATACCTTAGTTATTATTTCATAAATACAATTAAAAAACAAGATCGAAAAGATAAAATGTGAATAATTATAATACATTGTCAAATAAAAACAAAGAAATCTTCTCGTCAAACGATAATAATTACAAACCTTTATTATAATTTTTATAAGTATGAATGTACTTTGAAATATAAGTTTTCAAAGAAGAAGAACTATTGTAGATTTAAACACAGTCAGTTTATAAAAATTAAATAGAAACTTGAGCTTTCTTCCGCTACGTGCAAGAATTTTAAAGTTTTTAGATTTTTTAAAAAACTTTCCCATACTCAGTTTTAATAACTTCAATTCCCTTTTAAAAGAGAAAAGGAACGAAGAATAAATTCTTGATTAGGATGTGTCAAATTACTCTACTCGCAAGTTGTGAGCTTTTCTGACTGACGTTAGCAGGGATCGCAACTGTGCTTTGCGATTTGTTTCTCTTCGTAGACCTAGTTCGTAAGGTTACCGTGAAGTTGGTCTATCCAACTGAGTTCTTGCAAAGAATCGAAATCGGCAAGCACAACCTCGTCCGCTTTAGCAAGTACTTGTGCAATAGAAACCAATCACTGTCTTATACAACTTTCTACATAGGGCCACGTTCCCAATAGCGCCCATAGAGGACACACCCAGGATGGGACTTTGGGCCCGAAATGACTACATTTTTGTGTAAAATGTTGTACATTTTTTAAGTAAGAATTTTTTACGAACGTGTTTCAATTTTAGCATTTGAAACTCACAAGAAACCCTGTAGCAGAAAATTTTTGGTTCACATTTTAGTATAGCCAACACATAACGGTCCCGCCCACTTTACGGTATTTTAAAGATTTAAGAATGAATCCCAACGTGCGTAAATAAGAATTTTACCAAGTATAAAAGCAGCTAAGTTCGGCCGGACCGAACTTTTAATACCGTCCACCATTTGGAAGGAACGTAAACAATTTTGATTTTTGCCTTGTTAAGGCGAAGATCATATGTTTTTATGATTTATGTGTTTGTTTTCTTTTTCGAGACGAGCTTAATGATCTGAAATTTGCAGTGAAAAGGAAAGCCAGATAGACACTATCACACACTCACCATTATGCGACGCGTTTCGTCGTTGGTTAAGCCGCTTTTTCGTCATAGGCTGTAGCTTAAGATGTTCAAACACGAAATCTGAAACAATTCCGGCGAATATTGTCTCTAAAATCATAAAAATACCGAATATCGGGGCCTATCGAAAACGTGGACCTGCATACGAATTCTTAGTCATGGGCTGTAGAACCCATTACAAACTTCAACGGAATTTGAAACAATTCGGGTGAATTAAGTCGCTTAAATCATTAAAATACCGAATATCGGGAGATACCATACTAAATTCATTTGCTGTAGTACCCATTACAAAGTTCGAATACGAAATATGAAACAATTCGGGTGAATAATGTCGCTAAAATCATCAAAATACCGAATATCGGGAGGTACCATTATATGGGGGCTATACGAAAACGTGCACCGACATGGCCAATTAAGAATCTTAACCTGCCTACTGGCAAAATATACATGTGTGAACAATTTTAGGCTTCTAATTCAATTCGTTTGAAAGATAGCGTGATTATAACAGACAAACAGACGGATGTCACTAAATCGTTCAATTTTACTCTGGTCCAGAATATACATACTTAGTAGAGTCAATCATGAACATTGCGAAGAGTTACACATCGGTTTTATATTTTATGAAAAATATTTTGTTTTCATTTTTCAAAACAATAAATACATACACAAAATTGGCAGAAGTCGGGCACATTTAGAAAAAAATTGTAATCAGCTTGTAGCTCTACCTTACCTTTTTATTGTACCATGTCTCCATGGAGGGTATACATTTTTGGAAGAAAGTAATACTAATATCACTCGAGAAATCAAATACAAATGTAAACAAAGGCAATCAAGGAGTAAAAAACGTACTTTCAAGACATATTATTTGTTTATCTGACTTGAATTCAATAACTAAGATCACAAATTATATATTTCATTGAGAAAATTGAGTTTTTGTTGGTTTGGTTAAAATACAATTTGTGCAATGACAATTCTATTGATTCTATTGCTTTCAACAAAACATCAGCACTTGTAGTTACCCTCTAATAATTATACCATGCGTTATTTGTTGTCAATGTTAAACGCGTTCATGTTAACTCAATTTCATTACACGACACTTTCCATCTATTGTAATTTTTATAAAAACCTGGAAACTCTGTAAATATAGAAAAATAGAACTACGAAAAGTAACGTTCTCCGTAGCCAATTGTTCACAGTGGTCAGTGTTGGTGAAATGTACAAACAAGCATTGAGGTGTGGAGCAAGAACTGCTCTACAGGCCTGGAAGTCTAAAACTGGTAAGCTGTATGTTTTTTACATAATATTTAGATATAAACAAATTGTGGGGAGTCATTCATTTCGTCCATATTTAAGCCAGGGCTGCCAACTTATGAAAATATGTTATTAAAAAATTGTAAAGATAAAGGCAATACTGGTCCTTTGTAAACAAGTAGGGGTATTCACGAAAAAGGGTGAATAAATTATTGATTTTATAATTTTTTTTTGTCAATACCAAAAAAAATCGGTAAAAGTGAAATGAATATTAGTAACATTGTTCCTATTCGTCTGCAACGTCAAAAAAAGTTACAAGATCACACTACAGATACACTTAACCTCAATTAAAAAATAAAAATATATTCAGATTTCCTTAAATTGACGCGATGCTGAAAATTTTCCAATGCAATACTTTTATTCTCAGTAGAATAATTGTCAAATCTTTCTCAATCCATTCTCATTTACTGGCCTTTTGGGTAAACAAAATTCGGATAAAATAAATTGTACAGATCGATACATATTTGATACGTTCCAGAATTGCGAGAATGTACACATTTTACACTGGATAATCAGTTTTTCTTTGTGATATGGAAAAAATTGCAAAACTAGTACTAGAACAATTGCTGCCTTATTGTAAACATGTATTAAAACTCGACAAGATTTTCTCTTTTAATTTATAATTTCTATTGCACATTTTTCTAAAAAAAGACAAGTGTCGACTATTGGTCTGTCAGAGAACTGCACAAATGTTTGAGTTTTTACGACGATAACCGATTTCCCTTTATGATAGGAAAAATTGTAAAATTAGTATATACTTGCAGGTTCTGGAACAGAGTAGTACCCAAATACGTCGGGCGTACAAAATTTCAAAGTTGAACATTTTCAACTGACAATTTAACAATTTCTTTTTGGGTATGTTGAAAATAAAAACGAATAAATGTAATACAAAAAATGCAACACGCGAAAATGAACTATATGAAACATTTGCAATCGTTTACATTTCACATGTTAGACCTCTATACGTGTTTATACGGCCGTATGGAACATTTTACCATAGTGGGTATATGTATGCGGATATTAGGCAGGTCTTTAATAGTGAACCATGTCATTCGACAGTAAGTGTGTACCATGGTACAATAAAATCAAGGCAGGGCTATAATATTATATGATTTTAATTTTCTTATTGGCTTGATATGTCAACCTTTGGTGTGTTCCAGAATTGCGAGAATGTAAAAGTTTTCACTTCGATAACCGATTTTCCCTTAATCATATCGAAGAAAATTAACAAACCTAGTAGATTCTTGCAGGTGCTGGAACAGAGCACTTATTTGTTTATGTGTGTATTCCTTTCAATAATAAAAAAGCTTATTGCAACGTATGCATCTATAAAATCTTTTTTTTTTATATAGGACATGATTTTGAACCTTTCATTCACTTTTCGCGGCTTTCAATTATTTATTCAAAATCAATACAACAAGTTGTTTGTTTTGATAGTAATTCTGACATTACAAGTCAAAAAGTTAAACCTCTATACTTCGAATTTTTCCAACGTTGGCCTATCTTGTCTTCATTGTACAATGGTGTGTACTACATCATTCCCAGTAAAAGTTACTAACTAAATATTGCAAACAGTTATTGAACGAAAATTAGTAAAATTAAGCTACAAAATATTTCTTCGGCTGATTTATTTTTGTGCAAGCATTATTATTTTGGGTGTAATACAAGATGTATGATAAAACAACAATTTGTCATAGTTTGTACAAATTATTACAAATATTCTTCGATAACCCAATAGTCCGGTGAATTCTCATTTACATTCAGGTAAAGAAAGTAATTATGACAGTTGAGTCACTGAGAGTTTGTCAATTCTTGGGACAATGAACTGTCAACCTGATTTTGAAATTGAAAATGTTGAATAAAAAGTTATTGAGATTTGGAAAAAATGTTGAAAAATACATGTAATAACAACCACCGAATTGCGTCGTATAAGAAGGCATGTCAAAATTTACTTATTTGCTTTTGACCAAAGTCATCATATTAAAAGTTTGGAAAAAGCCAAGTTACCTATAAAATTGGTAGCGATCAGCAAATATTGCAAACATGTCAGTTTCGTTGTGAAAAACATTTCTCTCTGTAATTGAGAGTAATATGAAGTTAAGCCAATGGGAGAATACTCCAGACTGTAGGCCATCAGTTTTTTATTGTAACAATTTTTTTTCTGACACAAGTTATCGTTGGTGTTTAATTTTAAACAACAAGGGAATTTAGGGCGCATTCGCTCAAATAGGCCTTAAAATGTGAGAGAATTATTGCATTTTCAATTTTTTGTTTCCATTAGTTTATTAGTCAACGGGTAAGTTTCATACCCGAAATGAAATAAATATTATTAAACTATCATAAATTTATGCGACGGAAGCAGTCTTCGCCAAGAATGAATACTTTCACCGTATAACACGTAAATAACACAAGACAAAAAGCAAACGTTGTTTCAGTTTAAGACTTTATTTTTCATATCACTTCAAATCGCCAAAAGCTTTCGCCCGCCGCTATTGTTGTGAACTTTGCAATATATTGCAAAAAGTGAATGAGAACTTGGCAACTCTTGTTTATAAAAAGTTGACGACCGGCAACGACTACCAAAGCAAGTCATCATAATCGAATTTCAGTAGTTTTTTCCTCTCGGTCCATAATATAAATGATATTGTCCGTGATCCAAACTAAAAGCAATTAAACTTTTACAGATGTGTCAAAATTATGCTTAGATATACAAAATACGGACTTCTTTGAGCAACATTTGTGTAAAGGTACGATTTAATAACCGTGTACAGTGTTCATTGTCCTGTCAAATTAATATTAACTTAAATCGGCTTGAATTTTCTGTCTCAAAATCCCGTTAATCCGACTAAAAGTGTCCAGTCCCATTCCACGGTTCAATAAGCCAATGTGGCCCGTATAATTTAATGTGCTTTAGTTATTGTTGTTCGAACTCGACAAGAATAACGACAAATTTTTGTGCCCCCCCTGGCTACTAATCATTAATTGCCTAAAAATTAATATAGTACATATGTACCTACGTGCAACTGCATTAATAGTGTGCATTAGATACAGCTTATTTTAGCGGAATAATTTTAGCGAATACTTTTCATTTGATCTAGAAAATTGTCATCTTAATTCTATAATATCGGGCAAGCAGTTTGTCAAAGTGCAGAAGCAATTTTACCGTGACTATAACGCTGCAACATTTGGAAGACCATCCTTAAAAAATTGTGAAACACCACTGTTGGGAGATCTCTGTGAAAAGTATCGATCCATTTTAATACGTACTTCCGCTGACTTATCGTCTAACGGCATAGCCTCCACATCACAGGATATTTTAACAAGTGAAGAAGCTAATAAACTCAACAATATGTCATCCGATAAACAAAAGGAATTTCAGCGATTGCCCACAAATGTGGCGCCTTCACATTATGAATTGGAGTTGAAACCAAATCTGGAAGCTTTCACTTTTGAGGGAAAGACCAGTGTGCAATTAAAAGTAAGTATTCCCAAAAGTTGTTATTTCTTTTACGAACATATTTTTCTTGGATTACACTTTGAACCTTTCTTCTATAACACTTTCACTTTCGTTGTTCGGGAAGAGGTTGGTTTTTTTGCCAACGTCAAAAAGTGCCACACTCAGATATGCGTAGCTAAAGCGAAAAGTTAGCGAGTGCATTCTTATATTTGTCGTACTGTTCGTAACTGTTTATATATGTGTGGTGCGGAAACTATAATTGCAGATAATGGGAAATTTTATGGTTTTCATTACAACTTTGTTTTAAGCATTTGGTAACTGAAACAAAATGTCATTTATATATATGCAAGTGTATTTATAATAAACATTTTTTTTATTTACACTAGAATTATAATTCCGAATAGGTTTATTTTTTGAATGTATTTCTTATCTAATTATTAATATGAGTATCTATTTGTTCATAGATATGACTTTCCTTTTAAAATCAAGATAACGACATTCAATAAAAGGTCTGGAATTGGTACATATAGGTGCCTTCCTATAAAACACCGTGTATATACCATATATAACAAGTAAACTTATGACTTAATGAATTTTAAACAATTCTAAAACAATTTAAGGATCTATGTTAAATTTGTATAATAAATAGAGGTAAAGGATGGTTCCAAAACGAAAAATATTAATTTTTTTCTTTGGAGAAGCTAATTTGAAGAGCATTATTACGGCATAAATATATACTGCCATATACATAATTCCAGGCACCGGAAAGCATATTTGCTCTTGTTTTTTGTACCGATTATGTCTACACAGGCTAGGTTTCCATTAAAGAAGAAATACATTGAGTCCAGTTTCTATAAATTTATAAAATGAAGAATAATATTCTAGTTTTTAATACTGACAAATTGAGATATATTTAGCACATGTTCAAGGTTAGGTTAGTTTAAAGGACGCGCGGTTGCCTTTTAGGGAGTTATTAGTAGGAATAAGAATTATAAGGATAATTCACGGCTAGAAATTTTGCCGTGTTCTCTTTAGCCCAGTGTTTTTCAAGGATCTTCTGGCTAACTGAAGAATTACTGTATGGTCAGTGTTATAGAATGAAGACAGATCTTGTGACAGTTGTTCCCCCCACAAACCTGTGTCTCGCGCTAATTAGCGCTGACCAACGGCAAAGCAAATGTTCGATCGTCTCAATTTATTCCACATCTGGATCAGTAATCAATGTCATCGCTGTTCCATTTCGAAGTCATTGCCCTCACCTTGCAGTGACCTGTGATGGTGCCCACCAAAAGTTTTAAATCAGGTTTCAACAAGGACAAAAGCGATTCTGTTATCTTCTCAGTGGGTATGGCCCAGATTCCCTTGGAGATATTACATTCCCTTTCATCTAGCAATTTTTGTTGGGTTCTCTCAGAGTAGTGTCGATGAATAACCTAGAAGGTACAGGGGTGGTTTAACCGAGTTCTCAACTTCAATGATAGCTGATTCGGACACCACCCTAGCCAATCCGTCAGCAGTCTCATTGTCTGGAATATTATAATCACCAGGAACCCAACAGAGCTTGATAGACAACCCAGATTTTTCCAAGGATCTCTTGCACTCCAAAACAGCCATAGACTTAATAGTAAAAGAGTTTACAGCTTTCAGTGCCGCTTTTCTATCGCCATATATAGTCACCGGGCCGTTAACTTCATTGTCCCTCGTGACCAAAGATAAAGATTAAGACAGTCATAAGACTCCAGCTCCCGTTCCGCATTCCATCGTAGAACCGTCAGTGTAAACAGTGTATTACGCGGAAAGGTGGATTGCTAGGGGGCCCAGGTATGGTATGTGGATGTCAGGTGGGTCAAGACCGAAACGTGGTGAGATGTAATCACTTTTATCACTCCAACGCAGCCTGATTTGGGCTCTTGAAGGCACCTGTTGTCAGTAAAGATGTAGCTCTTTGAACTTTGTCAATGCAACATAAATGAGATGACTTGTTTAAGGAGTGCCACCAGACTAGAGCTCCATAAGATAGCATAGGGCGAACAATTGACTCATAAAGCCATTTAATTATGTGTGGTTTGAGAGCCCCAACTTTTACCTATAGAGATCTTGCAAGAATAGAGTGCAATTAAACCTCTCCTTGCACGTTCTCCAGTGTTCCTCTTCCAATTTAGATGGTGGTCTCGAGGATGGTACCGATGTATTTGGCTTCAGAGGAGAGGTTTAGCGTGACCCCATCTAACATCGGTGGTACAAATGAAGGATATTTACATTTCCTCGTAAAGAGGACAAGCTCTGTCTTTGATGGGTTCACGCCTAGTCCATTGCGTCGTGGCTACCTTGATAAGGTGACTGGAGCTCCCTGCATCAGATCTGAAATTGTTTGCCGGAATATCCCAGCAATCAATAGGACAAAATCATCAGTGTAAGCGACTCCTTTTTGTCCCATTTTGTTCCAGATCTATGAGTATGTTATTGATGACAATTAGGCAAAGTAATGGTGATGGGACACCGCCTTGCCGCGAGTACCTGGTGACTAATTTCCTGACGGATATATTTCCATTGCTTGAATTGATAATTCTGCTAATAAGCATGGTATCAATCCAATTGATGAGGAGTTGGGGTACCTTAAGTCTTTAAAGTGAATTATGAATGGACTCGCGTGTAACATTGTTTTAGGCTCCCTCAATATCGAGAAAAGCTGCCAAGGTGAACAAGGAGTCATTCATGTTTTTCCAAATGTATCCTACGACGTCGTGCTGCGCTGTTTCAACGGATTTACCTTTGTTTGTTCAAAGTTCAAATGTTTATATAGCACTATGCTCAGTTTGACTTGAAATTTGTATAACAGGAAGGTATTTTTACCCTGATTACGGCAAAGTATTTTTTGGGGTGGAAATACCCGTTTACCTGTTTATTTGAGTCGAAAGTTCGAATGCAAAATCCGGGTTTTATGTGGTTCTACAAAACTGATATCTACAAAATGTTTATCGTTTGAAAGCTTATAGGATTCGACACTATTTTTGCAGTAGAGTCTAAACAGCTGGGATTCAAGACTATCTTCCCGGCTGAGCCGTTCAAAAAATTCTGAGATATTTCATAGAAATATGTAGAAACAATTTATTGATCTACTCTAATCATTACCTCTTATATTATTTTTTGATTCTTTAGAGACATATCATTCACATATTATGGTCATCTACAACACTGCAAGTTGCAAAAAAACTTTAAAATTGCTCTACTGGAATTTTGAATCATGTTCATTCCACGTGTTCTCTTTCTGTATACAGAATGTATTTTATTATATATATTGTCCTCCCTAATGCTACGTATCAAATGCTACAATATCAAATCAATTTTACCCATGCCTGCACATGCTTTCGCTGGCATTGAGAAATTTTTCACAAAATACCTCGCCAAAATTCAAAAACAAAACAAAAACAAACACGAAGCACTCACCTACCTGTTTTAATCGGTAACACATCTGCAAACAGTACCGTTAATACAATTCATAAAAAACAAGACTTGAAGACCGCAAAAAAGTCAACGTTCTTTGCCAATACTTGTTAATATCATATACGAACGAGCATCATAAAAGATTCAAGTAAAAAATCGGTGTTGTGGAGATCATCAAACATTGTGAAGACAGAAGATAGTTTCCATTCATCCAAGGCCGTTAAAACATTTTGCTTATTTATAGGTATGGATTTAGAATTAATTTAATTTTTATTTTTTTAAACAGGTCTTTTTTTGTTGCAATAACATAAAATTGATGTTACCATTTTTTAATATTAGTTGACTGTTGACTTTCTAAAATGTTAAACTATCAAAAGTCAGTTTTGTGTTACATAATATTTTAAAAATATTAATATTTTTTCTGCAAAAGCATGATCTATGAAAAAGTTTTTGTTAATGACTCCCAATTTGTCGGAAAGAAAAGTGAATTTTTGGGATAAAGTGTTAAAGAAAAAGTGACATTTACATCATTTCCATATCATTTTTTCGATAAAAAAATCACTTTTCTTTTCCGTAAATTCTTCCCTTTCTATAATTCTAATATTGATGGATGGTTATTGATGGCTCCAAGTTTTGCTCGTAATTTTTGCATTTAACGAAATTTGTCGTCCAAATTAACGACCTCCTCTTGCATAAAATAAATACCTATCGGTTTAAATAAGAAATTCGACGGATTTATTTTTGCCAAAGTCAATAATAGAACAATGTTTCGGAGCGGAGATATTTGAATCTTTTATACCAAATAACATTGCTATAGAGTGAATGAAAAGGATTATATTATAAAGTATAAATCGGATCCAAGTTCCAAAAATGGAAACATACGTCCCGAAATTCACTTCATTTGGGCTGATATTAGCCATTAGTTGCACAATAAACCTGAAATCGGATTAAGGATATTTAGGAGCTATATCCAAATCTTAGCCGATCTTGATAACATTTGGCAAAGGTATTCCCGTGCTCTATAAGATATCTGGTACCAAATATCATTATTGTCGAATTTATATTACGAATTTGAGGAACTTTAAACCAAATTTCATGTAGTTGCTTTTAGACTGAGTTTGGTCGGATGTACCAAAGTTTAGGTCATTCGAACTGATGTTGGCCATTTGGTGCACAATTAATCCGATATCTCTTCAAGTTATATGGGATCTATATCCAAATCTGAACCGATCTTGATAAAATTTAATCATTGATGATGATGATTTAATCATTGTTGTCGAATGGATATTACGAATGTAAGGGACTTATACACCACATCGGACGAAACGTATATATGGGAGCAATAGCTATATCTGAACCGATTTTCTTTGAATTAGATGTACTTGCTTCTAGACTGTATTCGGTCGGATGTGCACTATTAACCCGAAGATATATATGGGAGCTATATCCAAAACTGAAACGATCTTGATAAAGTTTGGCATATGTATTTTTGGGATGTATCTGATATCTGGTAACAAATATCATTGTTGTGAAGTGCTTATTACGCATGTGAGGGTCTGAAACACCAAATCGGATGAACCGATTTTCACTAAATTTGATGTACTTGCTTCTAGACTGATTTTGGTTGGATGTGCCAAATTCAGGTTAATTGGACTTATATTGAACATTTGCTGCACAATTAACCCGAAATCGGCTGAAGATATATGGGAGCTAAATCTAAATCTGATCCGATTATCACCAATTTTAATGGGGTTCGTCCTTGGGCCAAATTTCATTTCAATCGGATAATAAATGCGACCTGCATTTTGTTCACAAGAATACTCAGAATTCACAATCGACTCAGAAAGTGATTCTATGAAGATCCTTAAAAGTAACTATGGGTCTATCTCGCTTCCTTCTCCCTGTTACAAACAAATGCACAAAGACATATTACCCTGACCACAGTGTGGTGTAGGGTATAAACAACCATAGTATATTGAACCTGTCAAAATTGAAACAAATTTTAACAGTCTTTTACATCAACGCGCCAACAAACTGTTTGTTTCTTTGATTCTCGACCTCATAGATGATGATGCTTCTTTGCTAATCTTCAACTAGCAGTCAGTGGCTTTTTAATAAGAGCTTGCTTTATGTAGCAGAAGAATGTCTTCTCTTAGGGATTTCGCTTAGCTGAGTCAGATTACATTCATTCCAATTTCTTCAGGAATATAACAAGTGAATTTCTTTCTAAGTTGGATCAATAAAAAAAATGAAACCAACTTTGTCCGCAACGAGTTGACAATCAGAAAAGTCCTTTCTATAAAAAAGTGAGAGTTTGCAAGTTGAGAAAACTGACACCTGTGATACAGAGTGTAATAAGATATTTATATCCAATCCGCCCGTCGTTTTGAGAAATTTTAAAGAAAATTGAGTAAAGTTTTTTGAATTGTATTTCAATGATGAGTGGACAAAATCTTCGATAATGCTGGCGAAAACTCTGAGTATTTTAATAGCACATTGCAGTTCTATATGAGGGAAATGCTCATCTTTCCCCCTGGGGTGTATATTGGAATGTTTTTGTTGTTCTTTTCAGTTAGCCTTTGTTTAACGGTCCACTCAACTCACACATCCATTTCTAATTCATTCTTTCTTTCTTTATTCGATTCATTCTTAATAATAAAGCATCCAAGGCCGGCCAATTAATAGCCTCTCTCTCTTATATCTTTTATATCTTCTAGATTAATTCAACAACGAATGTTATCACATTGAATGCTTTGGATATTAACATCAGTGACAGTGGTTTAGAACTGAATGGAGATGTCTTGAAACCGAGTAAAATTGACTACTCGACCGAAAATGAAACTGCCTCGTTACATTTTGAAAAGGAGTTGCCCGCCGGTGCCGAAGTAAAACTAAACATGAAGTTCTCGGGAGAATTGAATGACAAAATGAAGGGCTTTTATCGCAGCAAATACTTCACCCAAAGTGGTGAGGAACGTTACGCTGGCGTAACACAATTCGAGGCGACCGATGCCAGACGTTGTTTCCCTTGCTGGGACGAACCGGCTATTAAGGCAACGTTTGATGTCTCGCTTATTGTGCCCGAAGATCGTGTTGCTTTGTCTAACATGCCCGTGGTCAAAGAGGATGCTATTGAAGGTGGCTTGCGTCGCATTAGCTTTGATCGTACACCCATTATGTCCACGTATTTGGTGGCAGTAGTTGTTGGTGAATATGACTTTGTTGAGGGCAAATCGGAAGATGGCGTGCTGGTGCGTGTCTATACACCTGTTGGCAAAAAGGAACAGGGTCTTTTTGCATTAGAAGTGGCCACCAAAGTTCTACCATACTACAAGGAGTACTTTAATATTGCATATCCCTTGCCAAAAATGGATCTCATAGCCATTTCTGACTTTTCGGCTGGTGCCATGGAAAATTGGGGCTTGGTGACATATCGTGAAACGTTTGTGTTGGTTGATCCCAAGAATACATCCCTAATGCGCAAGCAATCAATTGCCTTGACAGTGGGTCACGAAATCGCTCATCAATGGTTTGGTATGTAACTTCAACATTTTGCAGCATTATAATAATAATTATTGATTTACTTTTTGTTTATTTATTTTCTGTAGGAAATTTGGTTACAATGGAATGGTGGACACATTTGTGGCTCAATGAAGGCTATGCATCTTTCGTGGAATTCCTTTGTGTTAACCATTTGTTCCCCGACTATGATATTTGGACCCAATTTGTTACGGACATGTATACACGTGCTTTGGAATTAGATTCCCTTAAGAATTCGCATCCCATTGAAGTGCCTGTAGGTCATCCATGTGAAATTGATGAAATTTTCGATGAAATCAGTTACAACAAGGGTGCATCTGTTATTCGCATGCTGCACGACTATATTGGTGAGGCAGATTTTCGCAAAGGTATGCACACCTATTTGACACGCCATCAATATAAGAATACATGCACCGAAGACTTGTGGGCCGCTTTGCAAGAGGCCAGCTCAAAACCTGTGGCCGATGTCATGTCTACTTGGATCAAATTAAAAGGTTTTCCAGTTGTAAGTGTGGAAGATCAACAGCTGGAGGGTAACAAACGCTTATTGCGCCTTAGCCAAAGTAAATTTACCGCTGATGGTTCGAAACCCGATGGGGATTATATCTGGGTTATACCGATTACTGTGTCTACCTCGAAAAATCCTAACGCTATTGCTAAAACCTTCCTTTTGAATGAGGTGTCGACGGAAGTTGTCTTGGACGATGTTAGCCCTGAGGACTGGATCAAAGTGAACCCTGGAACTGTGGGATATTATCGTACCCGTTACTCGAAGGAAATGTTGGAAAAGCTAATGCCGGCTGTACGTAACATGGAACTTCCACCTTTGGATCGGTTGGGTTTAATCGATGATATGTTCGCCATGGTACAAGCCGGCCAGGCAAGCACTGCAGAGGTATTGGAACTTATCGACTCGTACCGCAACGAAACCAACTACACAGTATGGACTGCTATTACGAATTCGCTTTCGAATTTACATATTCTTATTTCACATACGGATCTTATGGACCATTTCAATAAATATGGTGAAAAACTTTATCGGCCTGTTGCTGAACGTCTTGGCTGGGAAGTGCGTGAAGGTGAAAATCACCTGGATACACTTTTGCGCAGTCTTGTCCTTTCCCGCCTGGTGTCCTTCCGTTGCAAAGACATCACCGATGAAGCCAAGAAACGGTAAGATAACAGTGTAAACATATTATTGGACAGAAAAATTAAATATTTTTTCAACAAATTATAGTTTCCGTGATCATGCCAATAATGTTTGCCCTGTACCTGCCGATTTGCGTTCAACTTGTTACAAAGCCATCCTTCAGGAAGGCGATGAGAGTATATTTAATGAAATGCTTGCTTTATATCGTGCCACCGATTTACACGAAGAACAAGATCGTATTTCACGTGCCCTTGGTTGCATTGGCAATGTTGATTTATTACGCAAAGTCATTGATTTCGCTATGTCGGTATGTTTTTTTAATTCTATACAAAAGTTAAACAATTGTTTCAATATTATTGTTTCTATTGCAACAGGGTGAAGTTCGGGCACAAGACTCTGTATTTGTAATTGTTGCCGTAGCCGTTAATCCCAAAGGTCGTGACATGGCATGGCAATTCTTTAAAGATAACCATCAGAAGCTTTTGGAACAATATCAGGTAATTGCATATGTATAAATTTAAAAATTTCTCAGTATTTTATTACCAATTTACGCTAATTTTGGTATTTTTTGTAAATATTATTGCAAATTATTGAGTGTATATATCTGAAAATATTCTTTTATTTATTATCTTCATTTTCAGGGTGGATTTTTGCTAGCTCGCCTTATTAAATATCTTATTGAGAATTTCGCGTCTGAAGAACGTGCCATTGAAGTTGAAGAGTTCTTCAAGACCAAACAATTTCCTGGGACTGAAAGGACTGTTTCGCAAGCCGTCGAAACTATACGCCTTAACGCAGCCTGGCTGGGAAGAGACCGCGATGCATTGACTGCTTATTTAAAGAAACAATAAACGTGCATTTAGTAGGCATTTAAAAAAGTTTTAAGCAGAAAGTACACGAGATCTAAACCAAAGTCATTTATAAAGAAAAGAAAACATCAACTTACGTAATTTATATGGTTCTTGTCATTCGTATGCAGGAAACCAAACTTAATACTTTCATTACCTGTTTTAATTTCTTTGCAATTTCATAGCCCCCTTTTTGTTATTTGATCGACACATGGCCATAATTAAATTATTTTTGTTTTTCCTTACAAGTAGTTTGTAAACAAATATATTGGAATTTAAATTATTATAAAACTAAAATCATCAATATTGTCTTTATTGAAATACATAGTTATGCATTTGCTAGAATTATTAAAGATTTATAAAGAAAAAAGTAAATAAAGAAATTTGTAATATATGTTATTGTATTCATTTCCGTTGGGGAGAAGGAACAAATGACTTTTTTTGCACCCAAATATCAGTTTAGAAGCGAGTGCAAAGACCTTGGGACGGTAAATCTGAAGAACTGTTACAAGCTGTTAGGCAGGTTAGCACATTGGGCTTTACATTAGTTACGTAAAAACTCTTCATGTTTTGAAATTTTTCCACAAGTACAGTAGCTCCAAGCGAAACTCGTACAGCAAAAGGAAAATTTTTATTGTTTTTTTTAACTTCCAAAAATCACAATTTACAAAAAATGTTTGAAGCAAAAAAAAAAAAGAACTTAACATATTAATTAATTTAAAGAAAAAAAAAGAAATATTAAAAGAAATCATATTTCAATATCCTAGCCAAATTCGTACAATTCGTATAATTTAAAGTATTTCTAGACATTAATGTTTTGTATGTATTCCTTTACTTTTTTACCAGACTATTTGGCATACTCTTAACAAGTTTTTTTTTGCAAAATCTAGGTTCAATTTTTAGTAAAACCAGGTCCAGAGGCTGAAAATGAACCCCAAACCTCCGTGCTTCACTGTAGGCTTCATATTTTTGACAAGAAGCGCTTCATTTGCTTTTCTCCATACATAAGGTCTGCCATCTGAACCAAAAAGGTTCCTCTAAAATGAAAAATCTTTTGATATGTGCTCCTTGGCAAATCACAATCGCTTGCCAATTGGAGGTTTATGTCTAGATCTTCTTCCATTGTAATTCGACTTATGCAGCATATTTCTTATTGTTTGCGGATAACATACTTTTCCCAAATCCTTTTCAGTAATTTTTTTGAACTTTGGTGCACTCAAAAATTGATCCTTTTTTTAGAATCGGATTATGCAGGTGGAAATACCCATATCTCTGGACTCAGTAAAGGTATTAGGACAAATTGTAGCTTTTTGGAAAGGTGAGAGTGTCAGCTATAAATTGTTGACCCACATAATGGATCCTTTTTGGAATTTTTGGGGTTTTTATAAAAAGTCCGGGTCCAAAATATCGATAATTTTACTATAACTTCCGAACCGTGACAACTTTTTGGATAGGTATTTTCATAAGCTTTCCAACGATACCTATATTGTCTATATCGGGTAATTGGATCCGGGTCTAGTCGGGGTCTTGAACCCGGACTTTGGGGTCAAGAATCTGGGATCCAGGGTCCGTCCCCCAAAGAAAAAATAGTTTCCCGGGATAAGGGTAGAGTAAGCCAAATATGCTTCTCATCACTCAAGGTAAATATTGTATTATTTGCCGTTTTTGACTTATTTTCTACACATCCATCTGTTTTGAACGGTTTTAAAATGTACTGAACTATAGATCGGATTCTATTAACAATCTCAGATATCTCACTTTGCGATTTATGGTTTTTGTAATGTTTAAATAATAGAATAAGTACTAGAATAATGTCTTTATTTTGTTAAATAAATAAGAACAGTAAACTTTTGTTCTACGGCTATTTCTAGTACCCTATACACTTATAAAAAATGTATGTTTCTTCTGGTAGTAAATTTGATAACAATCATATATTGAATGAAAGAAAATTGTTTGCTAAGTGTACGTATCCTTATTCCGGGAAAATACTATATTCTTGGAGGACGGACACGCGATCCCAAATTTTTTAATAATTCGATCGCAAATTTTGGCTTAAGAATACACTCAACTTTTAAATTTAAATTCTTTTTACAATATTTATAGTAAAGCAAAGTCACTCTAAAACATATATTCTCCCCAAAAGCTGTCAACATCCATGGTAGAATTAAGAAGGTAAAGTCATGCAATCGTATGTTTACAATTATTTCAAAATTATTCATTTGACAACATAACCATTGTCCCAATTTATATTTATAAATCCATTATACTTACACAAATCAAAGATGGGAAACTGCCTTCCATGCAGTGAAATTTGAAAAGCTAAATTGCAGAAAATGGGAATGCTTATTTGAAATGACTTTACCTTCTTAATTCTACCATGTTAACATCAATGTCAATAGAATTTGTATTAATTTACAAGTAAATTATATTGCCTATACACTTATAAAAAATGTATGTTTCTTCTGGTAGTAAATTTGATAACAATCATATATTGAATGAAAGAAAATTGTTTGCTAAGTGTACGTATCCTTATTCCGGGAAAATACTATATTCTTGGAGGACGGACACGCGATCCCAAATTTTTTAATAATTCGATCGCAAATTTTGGCTTAAGAATACACTCAACTTTTAAATTTAAATTCTTTTTACAATATTTATAGTAAAGCAAAGTCACTCTAAAACATATATTCTCCCCAAAAGCTGTCAACATCCATGGTAGAATTAAGAAGGTAAAGTCATGCAATCGTATGTTTACAATTATTTCAAAATTATTCATTTGACAACATAACCATTGTCCCAATTTATATTTATAAATCCATTATACTTACACAAATCAAAGATGGGAAACTGCCTTCCATGCAGTGAAATTTGAAAAGCTAAATTGCAGAAAATGGGAATGCTTATTTGAAATGACTTTACCTTCTTAATTCTACCATGTTAACATCAATGTCAATAGAATTTGTATTAATTTACAAGTAAATTATATTGCCTACTTTGTACCTTGGTGCGATTTTAAATCTTGGTATTGAACTTGACATTTTTATGGGAAGGACATAACGAACTCTAATTGGTAGACGAGGGGATTCGATTTTGTTTTCTATTAGAAAAAATATAATAATTATCTATTTTTTACCAGATTGTATTTATAGAAATAATAGGACTATTTGTTATTTTGATCGAAAATAAATACTTGCTGGCAACACCACATAGGAACTTGCTATTACTCCCAAGTGAATAGTAAAGAAAATCCCGAAAACAGTTCATGCGGTTTCTCACAGTGAAAAGTGTCGGTTCAGTAATCAATAAGTAATATTTTGTTTACGTTCTCTTTGTTGTTTAAGACAAAATGAAATTTTAAATAATTTTGTTCAGCCGTAAGAATAAAATATGAAATTATACAAATTATATACACACACAAAATCCTATAAGGGTAAGTTCGAAAAAATGGCAAAATCTTTCCTGCTGAATTTAACGAATATGGGTGTTATAAAATGTCGTGAGTAAATATTGATAATAACGATTAGCACAATGGAAAGCAGACAATACATATTTTCTACAATATTATTATAAGTAAGACCAACGTGTTTTATCCCATTGTGGAAGACACTGCACACAGGTGGATTCCAATCTATGTGCAAAGACATGGTAATTAGGCGGATAATAGTCCCACGCCTGTCAGAGGTATCCACTTTCAACAGGGATTGACTGCATCTGATTGGCAAAATTTTCCAGCTAATAAGTAGCCAATCGTTATGATGGAACTCCAAGATCAGCATTATAGACATGCTAAGGCATAGACATAAATAAGGCTTAATTAAGGCGTTAAATCAGACAAACAGGTCGAAGATATTGATACCTTGAACGATGATGCTTTTGGCCCAAAAGAATAGTGCGGATTGCCACTGCTACAGAGACTTCTTCAGCATAACCATTTAAAGTTTTGGGTCTTCAGCCAAACCATATGAAGTTTCGGCTACACACCACATTAGATCTTTGACTACCTGAAAAGATTTTCCAGAACAAAGTCAGAGTTGCTTGCACCTGCTTTTAAACTCGCCGAAATATTATATAAATCCAGCAGAATCGGCCGTACTAGCAAATTAACGTTATGAGCTTCTTTCAGTAATGCAAATACTAGCAAATTAACGTTATGAGCTTCTTTCAGTAATGAGAAGCAGTGTGGCAGGTTTCCAAAACATCATTAATTCTACAAAACACAACGAATTACTGCTGAATTATGGTTGTCGTTTTGTTGATATCATATGATGCATCTTTACCATAATATTATGAAGGTTCTTGTACTGAAAGATCTTGTCATAACTTTTTTTTGAAAATTATACCGGAAGTGCAAACGTAAGTTCTGCGTTTTTAGCATACATACTGATGCAATAGGATTGTCGTGCTAGCATCCCGAGGAAGGCTGCCATGGAAAATACAAGTTTTATGTTGCAACGATAGTCGGGTCTCCGACTCGAAACGGCCTGAGTTCTATTCGCTCAAGGAAAAGCACCTCAACTGATTCTAAACAAACAGCAGGATTGTTTCAGAATCAGATATGATGATTTGTTACAATCATTTCTTTATTATTATAAACCATTAACGTGGTTTATGATGTGAACAACTTTGTAATAGGGAGAGTAATCTGTCAACATATTAATATGTTTTTCATTGCTATTTCTATTTATTTGCAGATGCTGATCTATTGGTAAATAATAAAGAACATCCCGATGCTAAGGCCGGCGACATTGTTGAGGTCTACCATCGCGAGGATGAGGAAAATACAAGATTAGTTTTGCAAATAACAACATTTACCGATCTCAAACATCGCGATGCCATCAGTATAGAGAGTGGTGTAGCGGCCCAATTTAAATTGCGAACATTTACCGATGTGGTTATGAGAGTGGTTGATGTAGCCGATGTTGCATTAGATTCCATCGAAATAACATTTAAAGATCAATATATGGGTCGGTCGGAAATGTGGCGTCTAAAAAAATACTTGGTAACTTATAAATTCAGATGGTATTTTAAGGCATTAACATTGGAATTTTTTCAGACCAACACATGCGTTTACGTAAATAAAAAGATTGATTACAATGACATGCAAATACGTTGTCAGGTGTACGAGATGTGGTCACAGGGAGAACGTGTCTCATGCGGTGTCATTACAGAAGATACGAAAATTGTGTTTCGCAGCAGTACATCAATGGTTTATTTATTCCTTCAAATGTCTTCGGAAATGTGGGATTTCGATATACATGGCGATTTGTACTTCGAAAAGGCTGTAAATGGATTTCTCACCGAATTATTTCACAAATGGAAGAAACTCGGATGTAATCATGAAGTTACCATAGTCTTGTTTTCTCGCACGTTCTATGCCGCCAAGTCATTGGAAGAATTTCCAGAACATATGCAAGAATGCCTACAAATGGACTATAAAGGTCGTTTTTACGAGGATTTTTATAGAGTAGCAATTCAAAATGAACGGAATGATGACTGGTGTACCGTCTTGGGGCAATTGAGAAAACTATTCACTTCATACCAGGCGACTGTATTGAATTATCATGCCAGAGATGGCATAAAAATACCACCAGCCTACAATTCAACAGCTGCTCAGGGAAACTTTCTGGAGGTTTTAAATATTTCCCTGAATACATTTGAAAAACATTACCTAGATCGTACCTTTGATCGCACTGGACAGTTGTCAGTGGTAATAACTCCGGGCGTTGGTGTCTTCGAGGTAGATAGAGAGCTTACCAATATCACCAAACAAAGGGTAAATTTTATAATTACAAAATCCGCAATGTTGATGTATAATTTACAAAGTTATAATATTTCATCTTTAGATTATAGATAATGGTGTTGGTAGTGATTTGGTATGTGTGGGTGAACAACCTTTACACGCTGTTCCATTACTGAAGTTCCACAACAAAGATACTTCGGTGACATCTGCCGATGACTATTCACTGCCGCATTGGATAAATTTGAGTTTTTATTCAACGAATAAAAAAATTGCATATTCAAATTTTATACCTCGAATAAAACTACCGCCCATGATTTGTAATGCCCCAACAATAATGGACAATAACAGTGTAAATATTTCGCTTTATACCAAAAAAAAAACTGAGAATTTTAAAATGATTTTACCCTTTTATAGGATAATGAAAATAATTTTCTTAGTTGTAACCAATCGGAGTACATTCATAACTCATTGTTTGATTACGAGGCGTATGATGAGCAAATTTTCCAGCCACCACCGGCTCAAGGAACGTGGTAAGAAAAATTAGGATAATTACTATTAATATATTTCCATCAAAAATACTCATCACAAATCGGATAGCCACGTATTTGTGACCCGGAAATAAATACTTGTTTTGAGTACCGTGCTTTTTTTAAATAATGGATTGGAGATCCAATTTTTATAAAGCATTTTCACGGGAATTATTCATGAAAAAAATTTATAAAATAGTACCAGCGCTAATGGATTTAGTTAAAGACGCTAAGGTTCGATAATTGCGAGGAAAAGAATTCCGTAGATGAATCCACAACAGAGAAATATGAATTTGAATACTGCGTGTAATAAATATTGATTTACTTGACAAGATATTTCTATAACTTACAAACATTATATAACATACAAAACAACCTTCCATACATAATAGATTTCATACATCTTTTTAAATAAATTTCTCATATTTTCACAGTTCATTACAAAGGGTTGTAAGAGCCAAGAAAACTTCTGTCCCCAGCTTTGAAACCTACGCCTATCAAAATAATGATTGGGAGAATTTTACACCAACAAAAATACCCAGCCTTCGCAGAAAAATGTCCGATCCAGACATTCATCATGGTACATCTGGAATACTTGCTGCTATGGTATCTATCCAAGTTACTTTAGTTTTACAAAAATAGAATTGACATTATATTTTTATATTTTTTTTTCAGACGGATGTCACCAATCTATCGGAATCTCTTGCTTCTGAAAAGAATGCCAGACGTTCCATAGTATCTATAGCACCCATTGTGCGTCCTGGTCGTTCCTTAATAAATCCGTTTGACCCATCACATGTTACAATAAAACTAACATCAAATCGTCGTCGTTGGACTCATATATTTCCAAAGGTATGAAATGCAATGTACTTGATATTAAGAACAGCGATTCCGTCGAGAAAAATTTTGTATGTCACTTATAATTCGACGTATCGTACGTAAATATTCAACTTAACATATTTTGTACGTCCGTATTACCCAAATATCTTAAAATCTACAAAATAACAAGTTAAAAAGAGGTGGTGGTGGTCCATTTTCGCACTTGACCTAGCACTGATGTAAATATTAGGATTCGCAAAGATGGAGCAAAATCGGATTATACTTTCTCTTCCTCCTTCCATTTCCCAACTCTATCTAGGTTTGAAAATAGTATTACGATGTACCAAGTTTGGATCAAATCGGATACTCCCTTCGAGAGTTATCGTGCGCACCAGCCATTCAGACAGACGAACGGACGGACGGGCGCCGTAATATCGACTCCAAATGTCCTGAAACAAATTTGGTCCAAAGAGACCTAGGGTCTAAAATTTCGATGAGGCACGTTTTGGCCGTATCAAATAATATACAGGGTGAAATAAACAAAAACTGCAACAAAGCCAAACGCTACAATTTTTACATTTTTTTAAATCTTATTGAATGAAATAAAAAATGACGGAAATAGCATCAAATTTTAGAATAAGTTTAGATTTGTTCGAATTGGTAACCTTTGGCACACGCTGCCCGAATGTTGTTCTGCGGTATGACCCATTCCCGGCGAAGCGCTTGGTTGAGGTGATCGACACTTTAGTAATTTTTAATGCAAACTTTGCTTTAGAAAATACTCCGAACACAATAGTCCAACGGATTGGTATCTAGAGAATTTGGTGGTCCGAAGTGCGATGGAAATGAAGCGCGGAACCTCATTTTATAACAATTCTTGGGTGGCACGTGCTGAGTGCGATGGTGCTGAGTCCTGTTGGAATGTCCAAGGTCTGCGGCCAAAATGTTTGTGTGCCCAAGACTTTAATACACACTCTAGAATATTTTCGCGATAATATTCGACATTTATTCTGACTCCACGATCGATTAATACGAGCGGAAAGCGACCATCGGCTGTTATGGCGGCCCACGCCATCACCATGGCCGGCGCTTGAGTACTGGTGGTCAACCGAAGGTGCACATTTTCAGCAGTCTTCTTTGGCAAGTAAACACGATCATTTTGTTTGTTTACAGACTGCGAATGTTTTCTCATCGGAGAAAACCAAATACGGCAGTTCACCACTTTCGGCCAAGCGAGGCAACTTTTTAACTTTTTTGAGTCTATTTTCTTTCTGTTGCGGTGTAAGTTCTTGCACTTTTTGGAATTTCAATAGCTTTACCCCGAGCTCATTTTTCAATATTTGCCAAATGGAATATTGCGATATGTTCAGCTCACGAGCCAATTTTCGGCCACTGCGACGCGGGTTTCGATCAAGTCGCTTCTTTACTTTTCGAACCATTTCTGCTGATGTTTGTGTTTTTTTCCGTCCACTTCCTTGACGTAGGGCTACGCTACCAGTATCTCGGTAACGAGCGATGGTACGAGACACAAAAGATTTATTCACATTTAAATGCTGGAGTGCTCTAACGATAGCCACTTGTGGTTTAACAGCCAAATATAAAGAATTCACACTATCACGCTTGAATTCCATAGCGAATAACTTTTTTCTGAAAAATTCGCTGCAAATTGTTTTAATATTACACCTTGCAACGGATAATCTAGAGAGTGGGAAATTACAAGTTTGAGGAATTTTTGATGTTTTCAACCTCATCAATTTGAAAAAATATGATGGTGGGAAACGAGCCCCGATATCAAGTTAAGGATATGTCCGAAACTAAAAACGACCATGCTGCCGTAATCGAAATGCAAAACATAAACACGGGTTCACGTGATACCGCAATCTTTAGGTGGTAAACTATTACAAGTCAATTGGTAATCTGATCTTATTTAGAAGTTCACAGGAGGCACTCAATAGCAGTTACATATTATTATGTAAACAACAATACTGCATTAAATAGATTGATGATCAGTTTACTGCCCGTGTTTAGCGGCCATTGCTTATACATAATTGATAACGAAATGTCCATTTGTTTATTTTAATAGGGACCTACAGGTGTTCTCATACAACAACATCATTACCAAGCGGTACCGGCGAAACAGAATTGCAACAATACCATTAACAACAACGAGAACGATTACTCATCATGCTACAATTCCATGGAATATGATCATACATCAAATTGTTCTACCTTAAGCCGGTCTTTCTCGAACAGCTTTAGTGGGGATGGTGACAAATTTGAATGTAATTGTTTTCAGTTTTTCATTCATCTGTAATTTATCATTAATTCTATACACATTTTAGCATCAAGGAAACGAAACAATTCCTTACTTAATTCATCGAGTTTTACACCGAACACAAATGGTGCGGCCATGCCAGCCAAAAGTTTCCTCTGGGGTGCCACCGGAGAACAGGAATGGACGCCAGCTATAACAACAGGTATTTCTTTGAAACTGAAATTGGTAAATTGATGAATAACCACCTAATCCAATAAAAACGAAAATTTTGTTTTCCTCCTCGTGTAAGCCTAATTGTGAAATTGTCAAAATTGGATATATTTGTTGATTTATTATTTGTTTTCTTATCAATCAGTGTTTAATTGTGTTTCTTACAGTTATGTGATTTGTTTTCAATTAACATGAACTTACACAAATTCTTTTTTTTTAATTTTTTAAGTGTCTTAACCAAGAGTGATGTCAGGATTTAATTTTGATTATTGGTGAAACAGAAAATAATATAAAACTACACGGACTCACTAATATTAATATTAATTATATCAATTATAATATTATTACTAAAATCTGCCCAAATTATCCTTACTCACATAACATTTTTTCACGTTAACATCAGCGATTATATTTAGTTATGTTTGAAGTAATATTATCCATACAATGGCTGTAATGTTTATGAAAGCATCGTATATGTTTAATGTATTAACTTTCAAACCCATAACACCTTAATAAAAGATAACATCGGCTTAAGAAATTTGTATGCTTCTATTTACAGCCAATGTATTTTCATTAATTAGAATTCATACAATTAATATTAATGCAATCATCTTTAACAGACTGACAAATAACATTTCTTCTTTTCTTAACGATATATTTGTTCCCGCTCGAAATTCAATACATCATCCCTCACTTAAATATATGTTTTGGAAACCCCAACCCCAAATCATTACAAACTATCCACAGAGAATGCTCGTAAAAATTTGAAACCCATTGTTGAGACAGAAACTTCAGTTGGAAATGTATACGAGTGTGAGACCGATGGCAAAGGAAAAGTTATTATAGGTTAGAAACAAACTATATAATTACATTACCTACATATTTTATATTTTTTGTATATATATTTTTTGCAATGTAGTAGTAACTTGATATTCCCAACAATTCCAATACACATATCTCAAGTATGCACTCTTAATATCAATTAGTAATAACAGCTTAAAGCAAATACATTTACACCGAGCTTAATATTTGATATGCAGAATTTATTTATGCATAATTTGAATGATAACATTTGAATAAATGTTTGTAATTTTTACCAATCTCAATTAGCGAGATCTACACCACACACACATACATATAAACGCACCAGTACGTGACTATTACACGGTAGATAGATTATTTTCTGTTAAATTGTATACCTTTTCCAAACATATACTATCACTGCACCATACACATATATACTTACACACGTACTTACACACAAGTCAGTAGGGCGAGGGCCACTATAACTGCATGTAGTATCGGTAAGTCCTCACCTTAACAAACAATAACTTTGATTGATTTGCAAAGATTTTTTAATATTAACCAAAAGAGTTTTACAATCTCAAATCTACACTGCACTATGGTCTCAAATACGATTTTTTTTTTTGTCAAACAAACGTTTATCATCCATTTTTTGTTTAATAGTTTAAAATACAAAATTAATGTCTGTGAAAATCTGCTCTGCTATAGTTAGATTCAAATTTGGTCATTAATAGTAAAAATGTCCTACCTCTTTATCTTGGGCCCTAAAACAACATGGTCCTATCTTATTTAGTTGTCCTGCTCTAGAAAGTGACAGAGTAAGTGCTCCGCAGTTTCTATCTCTTCCTCGTCTTGGCAAAGCCTGCAGTAGTCAGTATCGTCACACCCACTTAGAAGTCATGACCCTAATATTACAGTGATCTGTGATTAAGTTTTAGGTCAGATTTGGCCATGGAAATGAGTGATAGAGATCTCCTTTCAAATATCACCGGCCAAAAGTTATGCTGAAATTCTCTAGAATAGTGTTTGTGTATTATCTGAAAGAAGTGACACAATGGTGGCTTCACCGAGCTCTGAATCTCAAGAACAGTTGACACGGAGCCACTTCCTGTCAATTCATCTGCAGCTTCATTGTCAGAGATGTTACTATGACCAGGAACCCGGCAAAGCCTAATAGAGGACTTAAATTTTTCCAGTGCAACCCTGCACTCCAGGACGAATTTAGATGAATTTAGCGCTTTTAGGGCTGCTTGGCTATCGACATATACAGGGTGAGATAAAAAAACTGCAACAAAGTCAAACGCCATAATGTTTACATTTTTTTAAATTTTATTGAATGAAAGCAAAATATGTCGGAAATAGCATCAAATTTTAGAATAAGTTTAGATTTGTTCGAATTGGTCACCTTTGGCACGAATTATGGCCTTTAAACGGCCAATGAAACCGTCACACGCTGCCCGAATGTTGCTATGCGGTATTTTGGCCCATTCCCGTCGAAGCGTTTGCTTGAGGTGATCGACACTTTTTTAGTGCCAACTTTGCTTTCCAAAATACTCCAGAAACAACAGTCCAACGGATTGGTATCCGGAGATTTTGTTGACCATTGTGCGCTGGAACCATTGGAACCATTTCTGCCGATGTTGGTGTTTTCTTCCGTCCACTTCCTTGACGTCTGGCTACGCTACCATTATCACGGTAACGAGCGATGGTACGACACACAAAAGATTTATTCACATTTAAATGCTGGAGTGCTCTCACGATAACCACATGTGATTTTCCAGCCAAATATAAAGAAATCAAACTATCACGCTATCGGGAATTGCCTTAATGTTGCCTTAGGAAACGTTTTCTCGAACTTCCTAACGAACTTCAGGTTCGTCTTAATAAGCTGCAGCTCCTTATCAGTGAGCTTTTTTGGTCCTTATCGACACAACGACTACCATCTACTTCGTCCTACTACTAGTAGCAGACGATCCAGAATCATTGTCCGAATCCGATCTTAGAGTCATTCTTGTCAAGGTGGAGGTAAACTTCGCACTTGTAGCCTTGTTGACTGAGGCTGTCAAGGTGTCCACACCAGCTTAAGCTGAAAGAGGGTTGGTTTTCTTTTGGGGGTCAGAGTTTTAATATATTTTCTTCCTGAAGGTCGAACATGGCATATCCTCCATGCCATAGCAAGGACTCAGTAACTAAATCTGATATTCATTTCAGATATTCAGTTTAAGGATCATTGGCACTAGGGTATTTTCTCGACATTCTCCTCCCAGAACCGCTGACTGTCCTCGATTGCATATTCAATTCGCAGCTACCTATAGGTTGCGTATAGTAGAAACCCAGTAGGTAGGTTTCCACTATTCGCAAGCTTTGGACGCGTCCCAGCCGGAAATATCCTATTGATTTGTGTACATACAGTGGATTAATTAATACACATTTTGACAATTAGATGTTGTTAAATGTTAAAGTTCTAGAAAAATAGTAACCATATAATTGCATGAGTTTACCTTTTTAATTCTACTTTTTTGTTTCATTGTTTATTGCGAATGATTTTCGCTTAGTTTGAAGCGTTTATTGATTATTCTAATCAGAAAAAAATGTTTGAGAACATAGTGCATTGTTACCATTTTAATTTTTTTAATTTTAACACAGCCCACACACACACGCACATACACCAATACTAACTCAACAAACTTGATCACATATATGTTGTTTAAATGAATTTCGCGGTAGTTATTAAATTGGCATGTTGCTATAAAATGCATGTTATTACTAATTAAATTTAATTGATCAGGGTTATTAGATTGAATAGATAGTTAAAGTTTTATGAAACATATCATTCTCACATAAATTTATAACCAAACTCATACAATTTTTTCTTTTGCTGAAAATCTTTAACTTATGTTATGAGAGTTTTTTAAAGTGAATTCCATCCAGAAAAAAATGTGTTGAGAGCTTCATTTTAAAATTTAATAAAAAATTAGGAAATCTTGTGTTGTAAGTTCCTTAATATATTGATATATTGTACATGCGTACAGCGGTAGCTTTAACGAACATTTATTATCATGTCGAGAGAAAATAAGAACTAAAGTGATCAATTGTCAACTCCAATTAATATACAAAAGAAAATTTCAAAATCTGTATTACTTTATCGATTTTTGCAAGGAGATAGAACTGATTAGTAAGACTACAGAAATACAGCACTGAGGCTATGGAGTTAAATAGCGCGAAAAAATGAATGAAATGTCTGGATATTTCTTCCAATCCTTGATTTTGAAAAATTTATCTTGCATACACAAAATTGGCAGAAGTCGGGCACGCTTAGAAAAAAATGTAATCAGCTGGTAGCTCTTCCTTACATTTTCACTGTAACATGGATTTTTGCAGGAATATAATATTTATAGTTATGTGACAAATACCCGTCAAAGGCATGTTTCTTTAAATAAAATATAATTTAAAACGAGTCTTTAATTGGTGAAAATGTTGGGCAGTCAATATTAAAAATTCAATAAAACCAGTTACAAAATATCAGTCGATTTGCCCACTGATATATGCACTCAGGATATTGTTTGAGCTATGTTTGTTTTTTTTTTAATATTTTAACTTTCTTGAGGGAGGTACAAAATGAAGTTGATCAGCCTATATGCTATTTTGACACAAGATCTTATATTGACAGAAATTATACATTATTTCTTTTTCTTTGAAATTATGACTTTTTCTGAGGAGATTCAAGAAAAAAAAATGGATCGATACATCACATCTTCGATTTAGATGAAGTTCTGACAAAGATATTCGAAAGATTTCGAAAGAGTGGCTCGAAATTGCGGACTTCAAATTTAAAAAATATTAGAATGTACAAAGTTTGAACCAAATTGAATGCTCTGTTCCGCATCAACTTATATATACCCTCTGTAGTCATATAAGACGATATTATCAAATTTCCAACTCGATCTAATTTCGATACCATATCATGGACTCTGTCCGCTCTTTATTTATTTATAATTTGTAAAATGTTGATCGTTTTTGTAACCCGTAAGATCACAGCCTTACACCGGATATAATATTTATACCAATATTTATTTACACCAGAACTACTTACGTTTGAAAAAATCCGTTGAATCATTTCGAATTTTTCGAAGAGTCATATTATATCATACACGGATACCAATATAACGATGTGTGTAAATCGGATACTACATAACTTTTTTGTTTATATATATATACAGGGTGCGATAAAAAAACTGCAACACAGTCAAACGCCATAATTTTTACATTTTTTTAAATATTATTGAATGAAAGCAAAAAATGTCGGAAATAGCATCAAATTTTAGAATAAGTTTAGATTTGTTCGAATTGGTTATCTTTGGCACGAATTATGGCCTTCAAACGGCTAATGAAACCGTCACACGCTGCTCGAATGTTGCTCTGCGGTATTTTGGTCCATTCCCGGCGAAGCGCTTGCTTGAGGTGATCGACACTTTGGTATTTTTAGTGCCAATCTTGCTCTAGAAAATAATTCAAACACAATAGTACAATGGATTGGGACCTGGAGATTTTGGTGGCCATTGTGCGCTGAAAATGAATCGAGGAACCTCAGGCACGTGTTGAGTGCGATGTTGCTGAGTCCTGTTGGAATTTCCAAGGTCTGCGGCCAAAATGTTTGCGTGCCCAAGGCTTTAATACACTTTCCAGAATATTTTCGCGATAATACTCGGCATTTATTCTAATGCCATGGTCGATTAATACGAGCGGCGGCCCACACTATCACCATGACCGGCGCTTGAGTTCTGGTGGCCAACCGAAGGAAGAAATCTCACTATCACGCTTGAATTCCATCACGAATAACTTTTTTTCTGGAAAATTCTCACCAAAATGCTTTTGTACGCTTATAAACAATATAATGAGCTGGCACAGGAATAATTTTAACAGCTGTCGGACGAGTGGCTTAAAAGTTGGTTGCAGTTTTTTCATCTCACCCTGTATTGCTAATAGAGGTAGAAGTTTAAAGTTTTAAATCAATGGATACCAAAGTTTTAGATGACCGTGATTTCACTTTGGTTGTATTGGCATTTTTTTACAATATTTATTCTGAGACATGTATCAATCTGTACATTCGTAAAGAGCCACTTATTTGGTCTGAACCATATTTTGTATGTAACCATATGTTTTCTGTTGGAGTAAGTTGTGTAAATTAAATAAAAATTTTGTGTGGATCAAGGTAGGAGTTAAATATTTTACATACATTTGTTTCTTTCATTTACTCAATGAGTGTAATATCTATAAAAAAAATCTTTTGTTTGAGTTTTCCACGCAGAGTTGTACTCCATGTTCTACTTCATGTTGTGTCGAATTTACATATTGCTTGGGAACCACAAATTCCAGTAAAACTTTTTTGGTTGCTTTGTGTTCAGCCTTGGTTAACAAATAGAAAGGAAATTTGTACTTTAACAGTGCGTTGGGGAGCCCTATTTCCAACTGTAGAGATATTTAAATAAAGATGAGAATAAAATAATGATAATGAATAAAAGGACGTTTTCAAATCCATTCCATTGTAAACTATTTGTAAATTTAGGATTATAAATGGCTTCTGTTGACCCTCTATGGAGTGGGTTCTGAAGGAATGGTGCAATATTGTCTATTTCGTATCGGACCTAAATAAATTCGATATAAATATGGGGTAACTCTCTAACAGGTTGGTATCTTCCTTCACTTTACATAACACATGTTATATTTTTAGAAAATATTAATATAGTCGACCGAAGTATTTCATTTCCATGCTTCATCTAATATATATTAAAAAATTGGTATGGGCAAAATTGCAAGAAAATCGAACATTTATATCCAATATTATGCGAAATTTGAAGAGAGTTGGATGCTTATTTCGATTTCTTTGAGCGTTTTGTTTTTCAAAATCTTGAACCCCATGTGGGGCAGGTAGCAAAAGAAATGGCCCAATCTCTGCCATCTTTATAACAGATTTTTTGTTGATGGACATATTGAGATGTCCCAAGTCTGAATGGATTTGAGAAAGAGTGGACCGATGTAATAAAATTGTCGGGGATGTGTAAAATTTGAAGACAATCGGACTCTTACATCACATTTTATAAGAGTTGTAATTATTCAAAATTTTGATACTTTGTGGGGAAGGTACTTGATGGAGTGGACCAAAATTGTCCATTTTCGTACCGAATCTATCATTGGCGCAAAAATTAGGATTTGCAAAGTTGGAGCAAAATCGGATTATCTGTACTCTTTCTGTGCAGAAAATATATTTTTTGAAAATTTCGACCTTTTGTGGGGGAGGTACCAGAAGGAGTACACCGATATATTCCATCTTATCACCAGATCTTGAGTTAAGAAAAATATTGGGATGTGTAAAATTTGAAGATAGTTGGACTCTTACATCACATTTTAAAAGAATTGTAATTTTTCAAAATTTTGACCCTTAGTGGGGGAGTTATTGATGGAGTGGACCGATATTGTCCATTTTCGCACCTGACCTAAAACTCAAATATTAGGATTTGCAAAGTTGGAACAAAATCGGATTATCGTTTCTCTTTCTGTGCAGAAAATATATTTTTTGAAAATTTCGATTTTTTGTGGGGGAGGTATCACAAGGAGTGGACCGATATTGCCCAACTCCGAACTCGTCTAAGTTTGAGAGAAATATTACGATATACCAAGTTTGGGCCAACTCGGATACTCCCTTCGAGAGTTATCGTGCGCACCACGGACGGATGGACGGACATCGCTAGATCGACTCAAAATGTCCTGAAACGGATTTGGTCCAAAGAGACCTTGGGTCTAAAACCGTTATTTCGATTCGGCACGTTTTGACCGTATCAAATGATATATACCCTCTCTAGTTATATGACTTAGGGTATAATAATAAACGATGTCTCTTGCCAGACTCCATGGGACACTTACAAAGTAGTCTATTTCACTGTCATCTCATTGCGAAGTCAGAAATCTGACCATACAGCGCACTGCGATCAGATCCACTTTAAATTTGAACTCGTACTTATTTAATATTTATGAAAAATAAATTAAGAAGTCTGCTGATGCACCCTATTATGTTAAAAATGTTAATGATGATAAGTATGAAAATGTTGAAACTACAAAATCTACAAAGTCTTTGAGGAAAACTGTGACATACATATATGTTATCTGATAAATAAATTAAATATAACTGATTTTTAGTTTACATATATAAATGAACTTATTCATGTACCCCAAATCAGAAAACAACAACATGAGCATTTCTTCTACAACACGCAAATTGTACTTAGCAGGTGGTACTATACCATAACTCTGATGTTTTATTTATAGATATAGATTAGTTCAAATTGGTTCTAGTTTTTAGGTATTCGATTTTAAATGATTTTTTGTATTGTTTTTTGTTTTCAAGGTAACTTTAAAATAATCCTTTTTGAACTTTGTATTATAATTTAAGCTTTGATGTATATTGCTCATAATTTCCCTGCTTTTTAGCTTATCTCCTCCTGTACAATGGAATGCGGTAATACCCGTTTTTTTATTATTTCGCGCAATTTCTTTGAATTGACTACACTTAGGCTTTTGTTAAATGTTTTCTCTTTCAATGTGAAATGATTTTTTCTACTTTCCTATATGTTTTCTCTCACGTGCTGCTGTTCAACTTTTTCTACTTGTATTCGCACCTTTCCGTTTTCTGTCTTCCGTTCACCTATGAACGATCTCGACAATATATTTTCTACTTACTAATACATTGTATGCACATTGTAGGAGTTGATTGGAAGTCTCTTACAATACCGGCATGCCTGCCAATAACCACAGACTATTTTCCCGATAAACGTTCATTGCACAATGATTATGTCATTTCCGACTATACCCTATTGCCGGACGATGTTAATTTGGATTATGCCAAGAGTCGCGCCATATACCGAAAACCTCTGACAACAGAAGAAGTTTGTACAGAAATTGTTTCGCAACGTTTAGCGCAAGGATTTCAGTTAATTGTAATCGAAGAAAAGCCCAACAGTTCTCCGGCCCAAGCACCCTGCTGTGGAGGTTTGAAACAGCAGAAACCAACCTCAGTACTTCACATGAAACCTGAAAATGAAGAGACCAAAGAATTTCTGCTATCAATCGGTCGTATATTTCATAAAATCACATTAAATGGATCTGTTATAACTGTGACTGGATATAGGCCAAGGTAAGATACATTGAATGACAGTAATTGAGATTGGTTTATTACTGTTAAAGCTTATACATATTTCATTAATTTTTTATATTTTATTTTCCTGTTGCAAAATGGTTAGTCTGAATTCCAATATGTATGTTTTTATGTATGTTTGTTTATTAATATAGAACGATGGTAATGTTTACCAAGGGGTAAGGCAGGGAATACCGATGTTTCGGAAAGGCCACCAACCCCGTCAATTCCCTGGTTTTTTTGTCTGGGATGTTTTCCCCAGGAGTTATTTCAAAAATAACTCCTATGACAAATTTATTATTTTTTACTCAAGTGACGAGATTGTAAACTCAATAGAAGAGGAACCAAAAAATTACATAAAACTAAAATTCTTTTGGAAAATCTTCTAAATCTTACAACCGCACTTATAAACATTTTCATAATTCTCCACTTGACACTTGGGTAAAAAAAGTTTTTTTTTGTCATAGGAGTTATTTTTGAAATAATTCCTGGGGAGAATATCCCAGACAAAAAACAAGGGAACTGATGAGGATTGGTGGCTCTTTCCGAAACCTATGTATTCCCTGTCTTACCCTCCTGGTAAACATTACCATCGTTCTCCACTAATAAACAAACGTTGTTTTTTTTTAAAACAAAAACAAAAATGGGATTAAGCCTGACCATTTTGAACCAGCAAAATACTATGGTATCCCAAAAAACACTGTTCAATTTTTATTTTCTGTGAAAATTGTACTAAGTACTGTGAATGTTGGTTCGTTTGTATATTACATAGCAATTGATTCAACAAACTTGTTTAAAAATATTTTCAGACACCCATATCCACCAATTAATGTCGATTATCGTTACCGTTTTCACGCTCCCCAACACGAAACCTATGAAATATCTGGAGTAAATTTTACTACGGAAAAGTTGGAAAATTTCAATTGGAATTATATGGACCATTACATATGTACCCGAGGCGATACAGATTATCCCCTAATGGAGGTATGTTGCACTGTGTTATTATTTGCTCATATTTGATCGATTTGTGTTTTTAATAAAAACAAATTCCTAGTTTCATTATGAATTAAAGTAGGGTCTGCTTCAATTTGACTATACGAAAGTGAATGCGAACGACAAACTTATTTTCAAAGGCGATCTTCTTTCGCAATCACATCCACATTGTCATAGGGAAACAGGCCAATAGCTTCCAATATTTTTTTTTTGTATGGATTGTTTCTCTAAGGCAATCAAAAAACTCAGTTCTTTTTCTATTCGAAAGAAATCCAGTTTGGGTTCCAGTAACTGTTTGCTTTTGCATTCTACTCGAATGGTGACCAGAATCATCAACTTAAAAGAAAGCGTGAAGTGAAGATATTACTGATAGGATATATAGTTATACGGGTGAAATACGGCTAGAAATTTTGAGGTGTCGTCTTTAGCCATTTAAGTCTTCTGGTTAATTGAAGAATTGCTGTAGGGTCAGTGTTGGAGAACGAAGACAAATCATGTGACACTTGTTCCCCAACCAAACTATGTCTCACCTTTGGGGAACTCCAGGAGTTGATTATGTAATACTAGACGATATCCATTTCAATTCACCAAATTGAGTTCTGTCACTAATGTACGACATATAATTTAACATGCTGAAAAGAAAAATTAAACTTATTTCTAAGTTTGCAAATCAACAAATCACGATATATGGAGTTGACAAAACAAGAGGAACTAAAGCAGAAATCCTATTAACATTGCTGTAATAAAGTCAGTTAACTGCAGTAGGAAATACGTAGTGGTATGGCCTGCACAAGCATAATACTGTTTACAGCTCACGCTTAAAAGAATTTGGTATTTCATTATTGAAATAGGTCGCAAATCCTCAGGATCATGAACAGAGAAAACCTTTGCATTTGTACAACACAGACAATCTTCCAAGAAGTAGAAAACATAGCCGTTGTTTATATTGCATTAAATAAATCCAAAAGAAGCTCCGAGATATGTGGAAAAATAATTTTCAAAAATTCCAGACATTTTTCAATGTCCACAGACTTGGATTTGATTTTACTTAGAGCTATAGCAATATGATCAATATTAATGCATGAGAAGAAGAAGATTGGACATTACCGTTAAACAATTCCCAATTGACGTCAACAAAAGTATTCGACCACCTACCCATGGAAAAAAAATTTAACAGTTTCCAACACATCCATTAAATCGAAGAACTCTAATCTGATTCCTTTCAAATAATGCTTTTAGCTCAAATTATGTGGGATCCAGTCTCCTAAATAAGCCTCATATGCTAAATCCCATACGAAACACTGTATCTCAATCTTTCTGGCAAACACGTGTCAGAAATCCTGCACAATACATTTTTGAATGTATTAAAGGAAGTTACATCGAAGATTTCTAAAATTTTATCAAAAAAAATATATACATATTTATACTTTTAGAGTTTAAAATATTGGCGATTCCGTATGTATTTGCTGCCAAAGGAAAACAAGGCCATGAATAAAATCATGGAACAAGGATGCCAGTACTGCGATGTGTTTACCGAACCAACGCCGGAAAGTGCAAAACAGCAGGTTGAAGATTTCATGCGCTTTATGGAGGTTCACATCAATAAACTGAAGCGTCGGAAAGCTCGCGTAAGCAATTTTCACCAGAATAGTTGTTTCCGTTAAATGTATCAACATGAGTCACTAATTTGTTAATTTTATATTTTATGATTTTTTTCTTTTATCTCTTATAAATATTTGTATTTTTGTTCCTGCTTATCGGAAGAAATCCTAATTTGTTTTTATCTGCTCTTTTTAGTTAACATACATTATTCTTTATTATTATGTCTATATAACAATACATATATGTTTTTTAAATTTATACTCTATTCAATTGACATATTTCATAATCTCCCAATGTTTTATTGTTGCTTTTGTGCCTTAAATGTTTGAGTTGGATTCGTTTACAGGATAGTCCTACCGCACAAAGTCATCTAACAAGACGGCGCCACAGTACCAGCATAATTTCCAGACCTCCGCCTAATCAGGTTCTCTACCTTAAAATTCTATAATTTACCACATAACAAAGTCTATACATATCTATTTTTCAAAGTTTTGTTTATGTTTTCTTTGAACTTGACTGTTTTATTTGTTGATTTTTGTCAATACCATTTACAACAACACTCTGTCCATTGTCCAATCAATTCAATTCACTGGATTGAATTAAAGTTGACATTTTTTGTTTTTAGTTTCTGTTACAACCATTAAGATATTCCTATTGAATTATTTACTAAATAATTTTGTTTTTAACTTTTCCCAAAAATATAGGGTCTTACAAATTCTCCCTTTCGCGAAAGAGTTGGCAGTAATCGTTTGCCCGAAAAACGACCAAGGTTTTTATGTTTTACATATATATTTTGCTGTTGTATTTTTACAATGCTTTATTGCATAATTCTCTGAATGGCTTTGTTTTCTGTGATCTCTTTTATGATTTTTTTGTTAACAAGTTTTTTTTTGATGTAAAGGTGTTTGCTTATTTTTTTACTATTATAGTGTATAATTTTTATATGTATCCGTATATATTACTTTTATCTAGTTTTGTAATTTATATAAATACGCTATAAATAGTTGGATGGGGTTGTTATTGCATAAGTTTAAATGAAACATTAACGTATCATTGAAATATAATACGGAAGCCTATTTTAAATATTTATCGGCTTTACACTTGAATACAATTTTTATAAAATTAAAAATAGATTAGAGTTTATATTTCTACTTAAAATTACAGGGTGAGATGAAAAAACTGCAACCAACTTCAGACTGCTGTCATTTCTAAGCCACTCGTCCCACAGCTGTTAAAATTATTCCAGTGACAGCTTTGGTGAGAATTTTCCAGAAAAAAGTTATTCGTGATGGAATTCAAGCGTGATAGTGTAATTACTTTATATTTGGCTGGAAAACCACAAGCGTTAGCGCAATCCAGCATTTAAATGTGAATAAATCTTTTTTGTCTCGTACCATCGCTCGTTACCGTGATACTGGTAGCGCAGCCCGACGTCAAGGAAGTGGACGGAAGAAAACAGCAACATCAGCAGAAATGGTTCGAAAAGTAAAGAAGCTACTTGATCGAAAACCGCGTCGCAGTGGCCGAAAATGGATCGTGAGCTGAACATAACGCAATATTCCATTCGGCAAATATTGAAAAATGAACGCGGGGTAATGCCATTGAAATTCCAAAGAGTGCAAAAACTTACACGGCAACAGAAAGAAAATAGATTCAAAAGAGCTAAAGAGTTGCTTCGCTTGGCCGAAAGTGATGAAATACCGAATTTGGTTTTCTCCTATGAGATAACATTCTTTGTCCAGCAGTTTGTAGGCCGCCATAACAGCCGATGGTCACTCTCCGCTCGTATTAATCGACCGTGGCATCAGAATAAATGACGAATATTTTCCCGAAAATATTCTGGAGGGTGTATTAAAGCCTTGGGCATGCAAACATTTTGGACGCAGACCTTGGACATTCCAACAGGACTCAGCACGCGCCACCCAAGAATGGTTACAAAATGTGGTCCCTCCTTTCATTTCCAGCGCACAATGACCACCAAAATCTCCGGATACCAATCCATTGGACTATTGTGTCTGGAGTATTTTGGAAAGCAAGGTTGGCAAAAATGCCAAAGCGTCGATCAGCAAGCGCTTCGCCGGGAATGGGCCAAAATACCGCAGAGCAACATTCGGGCTGCGTGTGACGATTTCATTGCTATTTCCGACATTTTTTGCTTTCATTCAAACATTCAACCAAACTAAAAAAAATGTAAAAATTATGGCGTTTGACTTTGTTGAAGTTTTTTATCTCATCCTGTATAATACGGAAATTTATTTTAAATATTTGTCGGCTTTAAACTTGAATACAATTTTTATAAAACTAAAAAGAGATTAGAGTTATATTTCTACTTAAAATTATATATCAAAAATCTAATTTGGTTCCAAGATGTTTTCTTCAACCCTGTCCAATTGTATGAATCATAAACGTATGCTCATCTAAATACACAGCTTTTAGAAGTACTGTTTTTATATATATTTACATTTTTATAATATTTTAATTTTTTTTGTGTATCATTTTAATTTTTTTGTTTTGGTCTTTGGCTTTCAGCATGTTACAACTAGATTCTCTGATAAGCATCATCTAATCTTTAATTCACCTCAGCAAAGGTTTGTTGGTTTGTCACACAATTGCACATAAATATTCATTCATTATTGTAAAATAATTATTGCACTTGCGCCCTGAAAAAAGAAAAGAAATCACATTTTACACAAATCACTGTAAATACATAATGTCGTCCTTACACAAATTTTTTGGAAACTGATTTTGATTTCATTGACGCTTTCTTTTTTTGTTTGCTGGCTGTAGATTTTTCTAATATGCCTTTAATTTTATGATATTTAATGCAATTTACTCAATTTAGCAGCATTCGTTCAACTGTGGTCAAGCCTGAACGTGTGGGAGGACGCATTATCCATCCCGCTGCTGATGCAGCAGCAGTTGCCTTAAATGCAATGGATTCCAGTCAACAACATGATGACTACGATGAAAAGTTAGTACATATCTAAAAAGAATATCATCATTATGTTTATTTTCCTAAAACCCATTCGAATCTTCTCCGTTCCAGTTCCTCGACCGAAATTAAATTACGTCCCAATGCTACAATAAATGAAATTTTCGAAGTAATGAAACATCCCATTCATGGCGTTGCCTTTATATCTCAAACCCAAAGTCTGCCTTCGTACACATTTGTGTCGTTCGATGCTCTAGTTTGGTTAAAAACCAATTTAGACAATAGCCGAAATCCCTTGGACATACTTGAGAGTATGAGAAAGGAAAAAATGATTTGTCATGCATCGGGGGATTTTAATAAGCCCGTCATACCGGGCTTCTATTTATATTATATTGCCCAACAGGACAAAAATGCCAAAGGTATCAAAATATCTATTTTAAGTTTCCATTTTAACGAGATTATATGGAATATCATTTATTTACAGACTACACCAAACCTCTCAACGATTTAAGTGCTTTTGAGAATGAGTGGATGGAAATTGAGCTGGCAGGCTGCAGTCATTTGTGGACAGATGAACCAATCCTGCCTCGTATACCGAATTTCCTTAAAGACGTTCCTAATCCCCAGTCATGGACAGAATCTTGTAAAAGTAGTAAGTAACTCTTTTTGGATTACTGACGACGTAAAAGTCTTTTGTCAAAACTTATTTTTTTCCATGCACTAGTCAAACAAAAAGCCTTTATTTTTATTTTCCACCTTGGAAAGGAGAGTATATTAAATTTGTCATTTCGTTTGTGACACTTCTAAACATTCGTAAACATTAAGCGATGTTCGTCTGTCACGATATCACGATACAGCTCGCATTATTTGACGTAGAGCTTTAAAATTTGTATAAATTGTATTGTGTCTAGCGTGGTTGGTATTGAAAATAAGACATATTATTCCACGTTTTGTTATAGCCGCCATATAACGGCACCACCTGATATTCGGCATTTTGATAGTTTGTCAAAAAATTAGTATTTGTAATATATGGGTTGCAGATTTCGTATACCCCCGTATAACGTTACCTCCCGATATTCGGTATTTTTCCACGGATTCGTCTTAAATGGGTTATAGTTGAATATTTATGTCCACGTTTTCCTATAGCGCACATATAACCATTCCTTCGGATATTCGGTATTTTGACGATGTGGCTTAATTATCTAAGAGATTTGTGTAAAATTTGGTATTTGTACTTCATAATGGGTTCTACAAGCGGTGTCAAAACATGGACCATATTGGTCCCAGTCATCCTAGTCACATTTTCGCACGAAATTACGTAAAATTTGGTATTTAAGACTCTCGATATATTACAATCGTTGTAGTATAAAATTTTCTATATTAGCTCCCGTTTTAGTATGAACTCCATATAACGGCTCTAACCATTCTCCTACCGCTCATACTGGAGTTTGTAGTTTAAAGTGGAACACGCTTGAATTCAGATACTTTTGCATAAAAATGTTTTCTTTACCCAATGGTGGAAGATATTAGAAGTTCGGAACTTAATGTCTTTTTACTTGTGTACTGGTCTTGCATCGAATATTGTTGTCTGGTTCTTATCATGGTACAATGAAGAGAAGGTAGGTCAACTTTGAAAAAATTGCAAGTATAGAGGTCTACCTGTTTGGCTTGTAATGTCAGAATTAGTATCAAAACAATAAAAAATCAAACAACTTGTTGCTTTTATTTTGAATAAATGATTGAAAAACGCGATAACTGAATGAAAGGTCAAAACTTCTTTTCAAAATCATGTACTATATATCTCTAAAGGATTATTTCGCTACAAAAACTCTAGATTTTGTAGATGCATACATTTTGAAAACACCCGAATTTGAATATTTTCTGAACAATTTTTTGTTATTGAAAAGAAAACACATACATAAACAAATAAAAATGACATATTAAGCCAAGAAAATAAAAAAATTGAAATCATATGGTAGTTCTGCCCTACCTTGAATTCATTGTACCATGGTTCTTATTAACTTTTGATAACATTTACTTCAATGCCTGTGTCAGTTTTTTATTCTTTGCCGAAAATTGTTGCATGTTAAGCGCCTCATAAGTGTATTCGTGTTCTGTTAATTGTCATGGAAGTGTCCAGGCATCAACGGGTTATGAGTTATAATGAAGTCTGAGGTGGCGGACCAGCAAAGACATTGCCAAAATATATTCTTTACCATTTAGTCATCGTTGCTGTATCCATAATTATATGGATCGAATATTGGAATCGCTTCGTTAAATATTTTTTAGCCTGCTATAATATCCTCTATGCCTTAGCCCCTTCAGGGGACGAGATAGTTGAATGTCTTAATTTCAAATGATAGAGAAAAGTAAGGTCTGTTTTTATATTTCGATACGAAAGTGAAGTCCAATTACTCTTTTGGAATGGTATTTTGTCACAACTACTTTCATTGAAAATGGAAAAAAATCAAAAAATTAATATTTATACAAATTTTTTTATTTGTAGAAAAAATCTACCGACATTCACATTTGGAAATTGATGTGAATCAAAAGAGCGAACGCATGGAATGGGGCCATATTAAGTATCATACAGTAATGCAAACTGGTTTTGCATTTGAAATTGTGGTCCAGTGGGTAACGTCGTCTGGTCCCATAGTATGGGATTTGGTAAGTCTAACAATAAGTGGCTTTAAGAGGTTTTCTTTGTATTTCACTATTTATTTATTTTATTCTACATGCTAAAGCTTCCAAGCCTAGTCTAAATTATTTATCACACTATGCTATCATAAAAACAGTAAAATTGAATGGTGTAATCAAATTAATCTTTTTCTAAAATAAAAAATCGTTCAGACAAATGGCTGGATACGGAAAGCAAATCAATGCAACTTCCAACTGGTACCAGTCCCTGCCGATCCAATGGCTGAACCTTTTACCGAGAAATCCGATCCACTAAGGGGTCCAATATTTATACCTTTGGCTACACATGTTTTAAATTCCGGTGAAGGTCTATTTGAAGGTTTGTAAAGCTAAAATACATTTTAAGATGAGTGTAAAATGCTTTTAATGTTCTTTGTTTAGAATTTCATGAAGAAACTAGAGCAGATCGTATGCTACAATTTCAAGAAACAATATTGTCACGTTTCGGATTTCTACCCTGTGTGGTGGAAAGAAAATTTTCATTCAACAAAGATGTAAGGACCAAATAAACTTCTATTGACTTTAAAACATACAGTTACTCTAAAATGTTAACCTGAACATTTATTAATTTTAGGTTCCCAAGGAATATCAGTATGTTCACTGTTCTGGAAATATGTTTGTTCTCATACGGTAATGTTAAATATTTGATATGACCAGATCATTACATCATTACATGCCAATAAATCTTACAGTTGTTCAAAAAATGCCAACTATCAAATGGATTCACCAAGTCGTCAAGAAGCCAATGTTACAAGATGTGTTTATGGCCATACCAATAACACCAATGTTCCCAAAAAAGTACGTACGATCAAAAAACTTCTTGTACATTTATAAATATCGTACAATTTCAGATTGGTTTCTTATGGGCCTGGAATCATATGATACCAAATAAGAAATGGAAATCCCTGGTTATTAACAACTCCTCCGACGGTGAACTGTTTCAGCTGAAAATGCTTAAAGACTTTCGGGAATTTTGTTCAAATGTCGATGATCGTTTGTTAAACTTTTGGAGATCTTGTCATGAACTGAAACGCCAGTCGTTAAGTAGTATTGAAAATATTAACAATAATAACGTAGAAGGTAAAAACTAAGTTTTTTACGGTTAGTTATAGATATTTGATATCCAATTTGTCAATGTTATATATATATATTTTTTAAATGTTGAGTTTATTTCTTATTTTAATAAACGTTGAATAATAATTTTCAGTTTTTTATTTACAAAATTAGTCAACAGTGGAAATAATAATCATTTCTTCAGAATCATCATGGTGTGGCATTGGATTTTTTTGAATAAAGCACTAAGGATTTTCCCTTCTTGATACCTTTAAAAAAGACTGGTTCGTAAGTTCTAATCCCAGAAAAAGGATACAAAAGAATTTAGAATACTGAAGCTCTATTGACAAAAAATGTGTTTGTTCCCATACGAAACAACTTGTAAAAATGGTGAGATTTGCAGAAACTGTACATTCTTTAAGATTCTGGAACGTATACACACAGTGTGTAGACGAATTGTAATTTATTTATATATTGAATTTTATAGAGAAATAGTCCATAAAAATATAAGATTTTTGACGTTTACTCAGCAGAGATGAATTAAACTAAACTTGAAACATAAAAGTGCGTTTACACTTGATTCCAGTGCCTATACGTCAAATGAGATCTACTCTCAAATCCAGTAGATTTCATTTGACGTATGCGCAATGGAATCGACAGTTAATTCCACTGCATTGCATTTTGGCAATATGGAGGTTTTTAATCTCAATGGTAGTTTTTTGTTGTGACTTGCATTACAAATCAAGGACCATAAAAATATGTTTACATAAAACAAACATTTAAACGTACTTTTAAACAGATCGTGTACTGTTATGATTGAAAACCCCTCATACTGTCAAAAAAACAAAATTTGACACATGACCTATCTCCGATAAGACCAGCTGATTTAAACCGTATTGTCAAAATGCATCAACTGTGAAATAACCTGATAAAAACGAAACACAAATTTTGACATTTTTTGCGTTTCAATCACAATGGTAGTTTTTGTTATACTTACAAAACTGTTTAATGAATGTTGGAATTTACTATTTAAATGTTGCGTTTTATAACAACATGTTCGGTGTAAATAAGACATAAGATCAGCTGATTTTCCTTTATTAAGTTTGTACCAACCATGGTAGAAGAATATAGGTAGACGCTTCGAAATCAAAATTTTTGAATGAAAAATTACTCAAATTTGCAAAAATTGTTAAAAAGAAAAATGCATATTATAACAAGTTCCGATTGGCGTCGTGTAGGAAAATATATATAAATATACTTATATTTGAAATATTTTATATTTCAAATTATTGTATTTTTTTTATTCAAAAAAATGCACAAAATTAAGTTAAAAAGAAAAGTATTGTTTTTAGGGGTAGCTTTGTTCTACCTTCTGTAATTGTGCCATGATTGGAATCACAGTTCTACCATGGGTAGAACTAAGAAGGTAAAGTCTTGTGTTTACTAAAGTCATATGTTTACAATTTTTTCGAAATTATTCATTTAACAACATATTATTGTCAAAATTTATATTTACAAGTCCATTGTATACACACAAGTCAGAGATGGGAACCTTTTTTCAATGCAGTGAAATTTGACAATTTAAAAATAAAGGTACTACTGTAACAGTACGTTTATTTTCAAATTGTCGTTGTTGTAAAGGATTTAGAAAACCCAGTCGGGTTAAATTGTCAATTCCATTGTATATACCTCATATGAATCTTCATAACCAAGGTTAACCCGGACAAAATTCTCTAACTTAAACATGCCTTAAGTTACAGAAAATGCAGAGATGGGTATACTTATTTGAAATGACTTTACCTTCTTAATTTTATAGAATAGATGATAGAAATCTGAATTTTCTTTCAAAAATATGATACAAGTTCTTCAATTTTTATAATTCCATGGCAAACTGGCTAATATCTTTAATATGCGGCCCGCAATATACGTTTTTTCCTATTTTGAAAATATTTAGTTTTTATCATGGTAAAATTAAAAAGGTCATTTCAAATAATCATTCGCATTTTTACATTTTCTGTAATTTACCTTGTCATATTTTACTGCATAGAAAGCAGGTTCCCATCTCTAATTTGTGTATGTACAATGGATTTATAAACAAATATTTTGACAATGAGATGTGAAATGAATAATTTTGAAAAAAATGTAAACATATGATTGCATGACCTTACCTTCTTAATTCTACCATGGTTTTTATTCTCAAAACAATAAATACTTTCACAAAACAGGCAGAATTCGGGCATATTCAGAAAAAAAAAAATTCTAATCAGCTGCTAACTCTACCTTACCTTTTCGCTGCACGATGGTACCTTTTGGTACAAAAAAAGGCAAGGTAGAGCTACCAGCTGATTCCAATTTTTTCTAAGTGTGCCCGACTTCTGCCAATTTTGTGTATGTTTTGAAAAATAAAAACAGAATATTTTCAAAATCAATGATTGCGAGACGCGCTTTAAATCCATTCGCCAGTTTTGCCATGGAATTGAACTGTTTGCCATTGCCATGGAACTGTTTAGATCACATTTTTGAAAGAAAATCCAGGCATTTAATTCATTTTCCCGCTGTTTAACTGATTTTAAAAATGCGGAAAAATAGTGAATAATTTGAGAGAAAGCGGACTTATGTACTTATTGTATCATGGTATTACCCACATTTATAATAACATATTTTCCATATTATTTTTTTTAATTAATTTTCTTATTAAATTTAACTGCATAGAATGGATTTGTGAATAACAATAAATTCACTATCAAAATTAAAAATATCTATGATAATTGACCATTCACAATAAATTTAAAGTATATATCCCATAGATAAATTTATAGCAATTCTTCAGTTAGTGTTACCGGACATAATTTTTTATGTCTTTTTTACGTACGTCTACGCACAGATTTTCCTTAATAAATGAACAATCATAGTAAATTTACTACGTAAAACATGTGTAAACTTATTGTGATTAACACGGTATTGCATCGAAAAACAACTCTTATGTAAACACTCTATTAGCGTATTCTTAGTTCCCATGGTTCCTTTGGCGAGAAAATGCCTTTGAACTAGTTTGATCCGGAACGACACAACTCAAGTTTTTGGGTGTTTGGTTGGTGTTTGACGAGTGTGTGCCTACCATTATTTAATTGAATTCAATTAAAAAACGTACACAATTTACGCAAAGGAGAAAATAACAACAAAAACAAGCTGTGAGGAATTTGATTTATTTTGCTGGAATGAGGATTTCTTTTATTGCTCTGGAAATTAAATTTAATTGACTCTGAATCGGAGGAAACAATCGAACAAATAAAAGTTCGTTGGAAGAAAGCAAAACAAATTGAAGTTGGTCGAAAAAATGTTGATTTCTTTTAATTTTATGTGAACACCAAATATTAACTAATTACGATTATTTACAGACGTCCCCCAACGCATTTGCAGTTATTATTGTTTATGTTAATGATTACCTGGTAGGCCTGACTATATACAGCTGACGGCGGTGGTGGGTGTTATGTGGAATCTTGATTGACACTTGATGGATATCGAAGCACATCATACTTGCTAAATTTGAAGATGTATTGCCTTTGTTCTGTAAGGCATACCCAATGTTGTAGACTGCCATTCTCGAAGCGCTACTGAAAGGGCGTAAAATAGACACAAAACAAATGTATATTCAAGCGCACACAAGTTATTTTACAATTGTGGAATATGGCGCAATTTCATTTGTAAGTATGGGCCGAAAAAAATATTTTAATTGGAAATCAATTTTGAATTGCTGACAGCCTATACTCCATGCTGCAATTTACTAAAGCACGTATATGGTCAAGCCAAACCATTGCCTAATTTTGCGTGACTCTTGTCTCTTAATAAAATTTTCATTGCCAAGGGTTGGCACTATGTAGCTGACCAAAAAAACTTATGTGCAAGAGGTCGTCTATGAAGGGGGTGGGGATTGTTGTTTGAAATGACACATTTATTTCGATAGTGATTCTAACTAAAAGTTCTTATCTTACCAAAGTAAACGTCATGATATTATATATGCATAAATAGGTATATAGCTGTTTTTATTTTTTGTTTAATACATATTTGCGACCTTTTTTTACAGATACTCTAATAGCCACAATAAGCATAGCACATCTTCTGAACCAATCATCGATGTAAATCGGGTTGACAGTGAGCATGTTCCGCTTTGTTCGGTTAACGATGTCCAGTTGCGGTTTTTGGTTCCAGATGACTTGGCCGAGGTACGTTGTGTTTATAGAACGGAAGTAACTACGCCTGTGATAAAAAAATGATAACATTGTAATTGCATTCGTTTTGTTTTAAAAGAGCACATACGTTATTTTTATCATTGCCATGCTTATTTTTTTAAGCCACAGTGCAGTGCGCTACTATAGATTTTAGAATGTAATATGAATTACCATCAACCTTAGATTTGTTTATGATCTTAATTACTATGCTTTCAAATAGAGATTGCACTACGCGCATATTTTCTTATTCGATATCTACATCTTTTACTAATTTCTATCCACATTTATTACAGGTTCGAACGTTATGCCAAGACTGGTTCCCCATCGACTATCCATTATCCTGGTATGAGGATATAACTTCCAGTTCTAGATTTTTCTCATTAGCTGCTGTATATAATTTAGCTATAATAGGATTAATTGTAGCTGAAATTAAACCATATCGAAATCTAAACAAAGAGGTACAATTAACAATGTTTTTACAATACGTGCATGACAAAATAATATGACATCCTTTTTTTACTACAGGATAAAGGCATCTTACCCGATAATATGGGTAAAACTGCTGATATTGGATATATTTTATCATTGGGTGTACATCGAAAACATCGACGAAATGGTATTGCATCGTTATTATTGGATGCTCTGATAAATCATTTGACAACGGCCGAAAGACAGTCGGTAAAAGCAATATTTTTACATGTGTTAACTACAAATCAACCTGCCATATTATTTTATGAAAAACGAAGGTGTGTACACTATTGTAAGTACTTAACCTTTCGAATTTAGTGTTTAATATTTTTTATTTTCAGATTTAGTCTGCATTCTTTCCTGCCTTACTACTATCATATACGGGGCAAAGGTCAACGTGATGGTTTTACTTATGTAACCTATATCAATGGTGGTCACCAGCCATGGACGTTATTATATCCTTTTCAAATAATATCTTTACAGTTATTTCTTTTCGATATTTATATAGGTTGCACAAACTTTTTATGACCTCCATCCATCCTATTGTGTGGGGGTACATTTTGTTTGTTTCTTCGTATATTCATTGTTGGTTTCTCCAAATTGATTGTTCCAACACATTTAAAAACATGTTGCTTAAAAAGGTATATGTACTGTTCGATTTTGTTTTGCAGATTATTTAAATGCTGCACCTTAGTTTGTTGCCCTTTCCTGTTCGATTTTTTTGCAAAATAATAGTATAGTTTCATTTTGTTGATGGAAAACGTATTTCGGCGTGGAGTTATACAAATTCGCTTTCATTATTGGCGACACACTTAATTCAGTTCAGTACTGTATTGTACAAAAATTATTAATCAAGTACTGTACAAAATATGGATGTGTTGCTTTATTGTGTATTCTTATGTTAAGGGTCTTATTGAGTAAAAAAATAAGCCCCTCTAATTTTCCAATAAGAATTCTTAAAATACTGCAACAGACCGACTGGTATCGAACGTTATTTCTTTAAGAAACCTAATAGGGAATATGAACTCTCAAAATAATAATTTACGAATTGTTATAGCGAACAGCAGGTGAAGCTGCAATAGATCGAATGGTTTCCGGCATAAATTTAAAGAAGGACAGATATGTAGTATCGTGAGATATTTTTGGGTGGGAAGGGCAAAATTCTCTAAAGGACTTGAGTACATTACTATCTCCTTGCCGATGTTGTGCCTGAAAGAAACGTGTTGTGTTGATGTTTATTTTTCAAGTTGTTAGACGTCCAATTGACACACAAAGAAAAAACCTTTTGGAAGCTTTCATGATAGCAGCTGAAGTCCTGGTGGATGTGTGGCAGAGACACACAGCAGTAACTATATATTCAGTAGTACAACATAATAGAATGAATGACAGCATCCTGTTCTCCGCATGGAGCTGATCGTTTTACTACGTTGGTAAATTCTTGCAATACGTGTCGCTAAGGAAGCTAGGCAAAATATCTAAAAGGGATGGAATTGGTTTTATATGTCATTATTAAAGTCTCCTTATCTTTGCTTCAGGAGGTGTTAGTTTAGGTTTAGGAACCCGTATACAAGCATTAAATTTTTGGTCTCTTAATTTTGGTTTGTACTGTGGAATGACACGAATAAATTTGTGGCGTGGATTGTGCATCTTACCAAAGTAAGTTGTGCCATCTAATGTGAGAATGGACCAGTTTTGGGCATACCTTGCCAAAGTGCTGTTTTCTGCCGTTAAGATAAAAGCCAAGAAATTTAGGACTAAATTGTCTATGTTTCTGATTGGTCTGTCTATGTCTCCGATTGGATAGAAATGAGTAATAGGGAAAATCATAAGGGTCTTCCCTTGATGGATCCATCTCTTCTTTTATTTGTTTATAAAATTCTTATATATTTGTTGCTACTGTAAAATTTATAATTTGATATGTTTACAGTTGTGGTTGTTATAGAATTTTTATAGCCGAAAGTCCACAGCCGAGCAGAACTTTGGTTGTCCTCGATAGTCATGGTTGACCCGACTGTTGTGTAATTTTTAGAATCGACGAATAAGAAGATGAGAATAATAATTTTGTTCCATTTCGAAACAACGGATATCACGCACAACATTGGAAGAAAATTCAATTTTTTTATTAAAAAAATCAAGAATTTTTTTGTTATAAATATCACCATGAAACGTTCATTAAATTATTTTGTATTTAATTTATATTTCCTGATTGTTCCTTAACTCCTTAGCACAGATCATATTAAAGATTATGCATCGAAGTTACGACACACCGGCGAAGTTTTCAAATGGGTCTCGACACGTGTCAGACAAGTGGTACGATGGATATGCCATAAAACTGTATCACGATTTAATTTTGCCCATTAAATGCAACGAACCCCGGAGTATGAATGATGGACCCAGCAATATGGACACACAATTCGAGTATGTTTGCAGTGTCAATATATGCAAAAGAAAGCCGAAATTATGTAAATGTATTACAATAGATTACAGACTAACTACAAATATATCATGTATAATATTCTTATTAATTTTTTTGCTTAATATTAAATTATTTAAAAACCTATTTATTGTTGAGCATAAAAACCGTATCTACAATATTTCGACCAACTGAGAACTCCCTGTAATCATTAATCAAAGATAAATTCCAAATTATATATTACTCATTAATTTAAGACAGCTTAGTTTTCCATTTTTAATTAGGTATGCACAATCAATTGTAACTTGTCCCTCCAGGGACAGGTTGGTAGTATTCGAAAAAAAAACACACATTTTTCTCTGATTTATGGTGATATTATTTTGTTCCAATTTGATTAAATCTTTCTGTATTATTTGTTTTATAATTTTTTAACATTTTTTTGTTTTTAGATCATTCTATTTTTTCTATTTTGTAAATATAATTGACTTTTATGACCGTTATTTTCACTTAGCCACTGTATGTATACAAATCATAATGTGAAAAATGTTCATAGTATTAATGCTACACAAAGCGCATACCAGTAGGTATGCTTACAAACCAATCTAGTTACCAAATAATAAACTGAATTATTAATAAAAATAATTACACAATTTTAGTCGATTATAAGATAAGACAATTTTACACTTTGATTTCGTTTTCATTTCGTTTTATATTATATAGTATTTTTTTATCTAATTATTCTTTTTGTGATTTTATGTATGACTTAATTGTTTAATTATTTCGCATGTTATGCTCTCATTAGCTAATTGTAAACAATTTTATTTTCAATAAAAGAAAATAAATTTTAAAATTGTGTTCCGTATCTTTAGTTTATGAATGGTTCTTACCTTAGGTACGAGGTCCGGTCAGACGTTTGTCTTAGAAGTTTCGCCAGTCTGTATCCAGCTGCTGTTACAATTCATATCAATTTATTTTGCAATACAAATATTTATAAAACAAAAAAATTGTACGGACATTGGAAGCCATACACATGCCTTCCTTGCGTGGAATATGAACAGACGCATGATATGAAAGAGTCAAACTATGCAGGAATATTATGGACATTAATAGATATTTAAAATGATGTTACTTTTCCGCACATACTTTGAATGCCGATCATGGCTAGGCTATTAATGAAAAATTATAAGGAACAACTACGGCAAGATTTGAGTGCGGCTCTGGCATCCCTTTATGATGTGTCACAAAATATACCATGTGAAGACTTCAAGCTGCTCAAGGCTTTGTAAATTTTAAAAATACAATAATTTGAATTTATTTCAAATTTGGTTTCAAAACAACTGCAATTTTTCGACGTAAATGAGTAACAAATTGTACAATTTTGTGATAAATTTAATACCCTACTATTTTAGATTCAATCTTCTGGAATAAACCCGAAATTTCATTTTTCGGGTTTTTTCCTAAATGAGAATTTTGTTAAAAAAAAATATAAAAATAAATAAAGACAACAAATGCATATTTAGAAGTCTATTTGCCACTATAAGACTCCAGAACAGAGTTGCAATTCTTTGAAGTTGAGCAACCTTTCTTTTAGGGCCATGCATGGTAGAAGAATATAGGTAGATCATGGCAGAAGAATACAGGTAGATGCATCAACGCTTGGGAGCATTGATATGTCAAAAACATTTAAATGTTTTTTCAAATATAAGTAGATTTTTATATGTTTTCTTATACTACGTCAGTCGGAGGCTATTATAATTCACGTTTTTCAATAATTTTTACAAATTTAAATAATTTTTCATTCAACATTTTCAATTCCAAAATTGGTTTGACAGTTCATTGTCCCAGCAGCTGTGTCGACGCGTCTACCTATATTCTTCTACCATGAGGTAGATGTATCAACGCTTGGGAACATTGATATGTCAAAATTTTTAAGTGCTTTGTCAAAAATAAGTCGATTTTTATATGTTTTCTTATACTACGCAAATCGGAGGTTGTAATGATATGTATTTTTCAACAATTTTTACAAATTTCAATAATTTTTCATTCACGATTTTCAATATCAACATCGGTTTGACAGTTCATTTGAAAAGAAGTGTTGACCTTTCATTTAGTTATCGCGTTTTTCAATTATTTATTCAAAATAAATGCAACGTGTTGTTTGATTTTTTTATTGTTTTGATATTAATTCTGACATTTCAAGCCAAACAGGTAGACATCTATACTTGCAATTTTTTCAAAGTTGACCTACCTTCTCTTCATACCATTATCCTGGTATGAGGATATAACTTCCAGTTCTAGATTTTTCTCATTAGCTGCTGTATATAATTTAGCTATAATAGGATTAATTGTAGCTGAAATTAAACCATATCGAAATCTAAACAAAGAGGTACAATTAACAATGTTTTTACAATACGTGCATGACAAAATAATATGACATCCTTTTTTTACTACAGGATAAAGGCATCTTACCCGATAATATGGGTAAAACTGCTGATATTGGATATATTTTATCATTGGGTGTACATCGAAAACATCGACGAAATGGTATTGCATCGTTATTATTGGATGCTCTGATAAATCATTTGACAACGGCCGAAAGACAGTCGGTAAAAGCAATATTTTTACATGTGTTAACTACAAATCAACCTGCCATATTATTTTATGAAAAACGAAGGTGTGTACACTATTGTAAGCACTTAACCTTTCGAATTTAGTGTTTAATATTTTTTATTTTCAGATTTAGTCTGCATTCTTTCCTGCCTTACTACTATCATATACGGGGCAAAGGTCAACGTGATGGTTTTACTTATGTAACCTATATCAATGGTGGTCACCAGCCATGGACGTTATTATATCCTTTTCAAATAATATCTTTACAGTTATTTCTTTTCGATATTTATATAGGTTGCACAAACTTTTTATGACCTCCATCCATCCTATTGTGTGGGGGTACATTTTGTTTGTTTCTTCGTATATTCATTGTTGGTTTCTCCAAATTGATTGTTCCAACACATTTAAAAACATGTTGCTTAAAAAGGTATATGTACTGTTCGATTTTGTTTTGCAGATTATTTAAATGCTGCACCTTAGTTTGTTGCCCTTTCCTGTTCGATTTTTTTGCAAAATAATAGTATAGTTTCATTTTGTTGATGGAAAACGTATTTCGGCGTGGAGTTATACAAATTCGCTTTCATTATTGGCGACACACTTAATTCAGTTCAGTACTGTATTGTACAAAAATTATTAATCAAGTACTGTACAAAATATGGATGTGTTGCTTTATTGTGTATTCTTATGTTAAGGGTCTTATTGAGTAAAAAAATAAGCCCCTCTAATTTTCCAATAAGAATTCTTAAAATACTGCAACAGACCGACTGGTATCGAACGTTATTTCTTTAAGAAACCTAATAGGGAATATGAACTCTCAAAATAATAATTTACGAATTGTTATAGCGAACAGCAGGTGAAGCTGCAATAGATCGAATGGTTTCCGGCATAAATTTAAAGAAGGACAGATATGTAGTATCGTGAGATATTTTTGGGTGGGAAGGGCAAAATTCTCTAAAGGACTTGAGTACATTACTATCTCCTTGCCGATGTTGTGCCTGAAAGAAACGTGTTGTGTTGATGTTTATTTTTCAAGTTGTTAGACGTCCAATTGACACACAAAGAAAAAACCTTTTGGAAGCTTTCATGATAGTAGCTGAAGTCCTGGTGGATGTGTGGCAGAGACACACAGCAGTAACTATATATTCAGTAGTACAACATAATAGAATGAATGACAGCATCCTGTTCTCCGCATGGAGCTGATCGTTTTACTACGTTGGTAAATTCTTGCAATACGTGTCGCTAAGGAAGCTAGGCAAAATATCTAAAAGGGATGGAATTGGTTTTATATGTCATTATTAAAGTCTCCTTATCTTTGCTTCAGGAGGTGTTAGTTTAGGTTTAGGAACCCTTATACAAGCATTAAATTTTTGGTCTCTTAATTTTGGTTTGTACTGTGGAATGACACGAATAAATTTGTGGCGTGGATTGTGCATCTTACCAAAGTAAGTTGTGCCATCTAATGTGAGAATGGACCAGTTTTGGGCATACCTTGCCAAAGTGCTGTTTTCTGCCGTTAAGATAAAAGCCAAGAAATTTAGGACTAAATTGTCTATGTTTCTGATTGGTCTGTCTATGTCTCCGATTGGATAGAAATGAGTAATAGGGAAAATCATAAGGGTCTTCCCTTGATGGATCCATCTCTTCTTTTATTTGTTTATAAAATTCTTATATATTTGTTGCTACTGTAAAATTTATAATTTGATATGTTTACAGTTGTGGTTGTTATAGAATTTTTATAGCCGAAAGTCCACAGCCGAGCAGAACTTTGGTTGTCCTCGATAGTCATGGTTGACCCGACTGTTGTGTAATTTTTAGAATCGACGAATAAGAAGATGAGAATAATAATTTTGTTCCATTTCGAAACAACGGATATCACGCACAACATTGGAAGAAAATTCAATTTTTTTATTAAAAAAATCAAGAATTTTTTTGTTATAAATATCACCATGAAACGTTCATTAAATTATTTTGTATTTAATTTATATTTCCTGATTGTTCCTTAACTCCTTAGCACAGATCATATTAAAGATTATGCATCGAAGTTACGACACACCGGCGAAGTTTTCAAATGGGTCTCGACACGTGTCAGACAAGTGGTACGATGGATATGCCATAAAACTGTATCACGATTTAATTTTGCCCATTAAATGCAACGAACCCCGGAGTATGAATGATGGACCCAGCAATATGGACACACAATTCGAGTATGTTTGCAGTGTCAATATATGCAAAAGAAAGCCGAAATTATGTAAATGTATTACAATAGATTACAGACTAACTACAAATATATCATGTATAATATTCTTATTAATTTTTTTGCTTAATATTAAATTATTTAAAAACCTATTTATTGTTGAGCATAAAAACCGTATCTACAATATTTCGACCAACTGAGAACTCCCTGTAATCATTAATCAAAGATAAATTCCAAATTATATATTACTCATTAATTTAAGACAGCTTAGTTTTCCATTTTTAATTAGGTATGCACAATCAATTGTAACTTGTCCCTCCAGGGACAGGTTGGTAGTATTCGAAAAAAAAAAACACACATTTTTCTCTGATTTATGGTGATATTATTTTGTTCCAATTTGATTAAATCTTTCTGTATTATTTGTTTTATAATTTTTTAACATTTTTTTGTTTTTAGATCATTCTATTTTTTCTATTTTGTAAATATAATTGACTTTTATGACCGTTATTTTCACTTAGCCACTGTATGTATACAAATCATAATGTGAAAAATGTTCATAGTATTAATGCTACACAAAGCGCATACCAGTAGGTATGCTTACAAACCAATCTAGTTACCAAATAATAAACTGAATTATTAATAAAAATAATTACACAATTTTAGTCGATTATAAGATAAGACAATTTTACACTTTGATTTCGTTTTCATTTCGTTTTATATTATATAGTATTTTTTTATCTAATTATTCTTTTTGTGATTTTATGTATGACTTAATTGTTTAATTATTTCGCATGTTATGCTCTCATTAGCTAATTGTAAACAATTTTATTTTCAATAAAAGAAAATAAATTTTAAAATTGTGTTCCGTATCTTTAGTTTATGAATGGTTCTTACCTTAGGTACGAGGTCCGGTCAGACGTTTGTCTTAGAAGTTTCGCCAGTCTGTATCCAGCTGCTGTTACAATTCATATCAATTTATTTTTCAATACAAATATTTATAAAACAAAAAAATTGTACGGACATTGGAAGCCATACACATGCCTTCCTTGCGTGGAATATGAACAGACGCATGATATGAAAGAGTCAAACTATGCAGGAATATTATGGACATTAATAGATATTTAAAATGATGTTACTTTTCCGCACATACTTTGAATGCCGATCATGGCTAGGCTATTAATGAAAAATTATAAGGAACAACTACGGCAAGATTTGAGTGCGGCTCTGGCATCCCTTTATGATGTGTCACAAAATATACCATGTGAAGACTTCAAGCTGCTCAAGGCTTTGTAAATTTTAAAAATACAATAATTTGAATTTATTTCAAATTTGGTTTCAAAACAACTGCAATTTTTCGACGTAAATGAGTAACAAATTGTACAATTTTGTGATAAATTTAATACCCTACTATTTTAGATTCAATCTTCTGGAATAAACCCGAAATTTCATTTTTCGGGTTTTTTCCTAAATGAGAATTTTGTTAAAAAAAAAAAATATAAAAATAAATAAAGACAACAAATGCATATTTAGAAGTCTATTTGCCACTATAAGACTCCAGAACAGAGTTGCAATTCTTTGAAGTTGAGCAACCTTTCTTTTAGGGCCATGCATGGTAGAAGAATATAGGTAGATCATGGCAGAAGAATACAGGTAGATGCATCAACGCTTGGGAGCATTGATATGTCAAAAACATTTAAATGTTTTTTCAAATATAAGTAGATTTTTATATGTTTTCTTATACTACGTCAGTCGGAGGCTATTATAATTCACGTTTTTCAATAATTTTTACAAATTTAAATAATTTTTCATTCAACATTTTCAATTCCAAAATTGGTTTGACAGTTCATTGTCCCAGCAGCTGTGTCGACGCGTCTACCTATATTCTTCTACCATGAGGTAGATGTATCAACGCTTGGGAACATTGATATGTCAAAATTTTTAAGTGCTTTGTCAAAAATAAGTCGATTTTTATATGTTTTCTTATACTACGCAAATCGGAGGTTGTAATGATATGTATTTTTCAACAATTTTTACAAATTTCAATAATTTTTCATTCACGATTTTCAATATCAACATCGGTTTGACAGTTCATTTGAAAAGAAGTGTTGACCTTTCATTTAGTTATCGCGTTTTTCAATTATTTATTCAAAATAAATGCAACGTGTTGTTTGATTTTTTTATTGTTTTGATATTAATTCTGACATTTCAAGCCAAACAGGTAGACATCTATACTTGCAATTTTTTCAAAGTTGACCTACCTTCTCTTCATTGTACCATGTGTGTACCTATTGTATATCAAGCAATGGAATTAAATCACAAACTGTCATATCGATTTTGAAACTAGTATTACAATAGAGTCATATCAGCTGGGGTTTGCTGCTACCTGTAATAATTATATTGAGCTAAATCGATATGTTCAGTCGATCATAGTTCAATGGCTCATAACTATGATTAGATTGATTATGATATAAATATTGGCTCTGTTGCATACCTGCAAGAATTTAGAACTTTTTACTGCAATTTTCCCGTATGATATCGAAAAAATCATGGTACAATGATATAAAGGTAAACTCATTTCAAATAAGCATTCCCGGCTCTGCACTTTCTGTAATTTACCTTGATAAATTTCAATGCATAAAAAACAGTTCTCTTCTCTGATTTTGTATGTATACAATGGATTTCTGAATATAGATTTTGACAATTAGATGTTGTCAAATCTATAAATTTGAAAAAATATAAACATATGATTGCATGACTTTACCTTCTTAGTTTAAAAATTAAGAAGGTAAAATAGTTTCAAATAAGACTATCCATCTCTGCATTTTCTGTAATTAACCCTGTCAAGTTTCACTGAATAAAAAACAGGTTCCCATCTCTGATTTGTGTATACAGTGGATTTATAGATATAAATTTTGGCAATGAGATGTAGTCAAATTAATAATTTTGAAAAAATGGTAAACATATGATTGCATGACTATACCTTCTTAATTCTACCATGGTTTTACCATGGAAAAAATGCAAAACAGGTACTGTAACCTAGCATATGTTATAAGAAACTAATAAAAAATATATAAATCGTTGTTTACATCCTAATTTTGGAGGAACAACTTGAACAACTTAATTGAAATATGGTTCGGTTCTATAGTTTCTTAATCAATAGTTCATATCAGTTCATTTACAGAAATCTTTCATTTTAGCGATGTTCAGATGCGCGCAACAATGGTGTTGTGTCTACGAAAATAAACACAAAATGAATTATATATTGGATTTTTGAAAAAAAAAAAACGATGCAACCAATTGCCAAATAAATTTAATAAATAGTATGGATGGTTGGATTTACGGTTGCCACTGAGTAAGGAAGTGTCTACCATAATTGGTTTAAAAATCTTACCAAAATGTTACCAACTTTTTAAAGAAGAACAAAAATATGGTGTTTTTGGGAAAGGCAAGAAGTCAGTACGATTCTCACTCGCTTGACACTTATAGAGCTTGCTCTTCACCAAAGTCGTCATATCAAAAAGCTAAAAAATTATTCACTTGACAACATCTCATTGTCAAAATGTTTATTTACAAATCCATTGCATATGCAAAAATTAGAGATTCCTCGATTGAAGGTAAAGCGAAAGGAGTGAAATCTAAGGAAGTACGACAAAATATAATTTTGACAATTAAGGGGCAGCAAACAAAAAATTTTAATCGTGTTTGTATGACATTACCTTGGTAATTGTATCATAATGGCAACACTGTACCAGTGCTAGGCGCTCAAACCGAAATTTGTATTTCATTTTTTTTTTCATATTTCATGTGTATTAAATTATTATAATTTTATTTAAAATTTCCTTCTGGCGAACTCAGGATTATCCTCCATATAATCAACTAGTGCCCGCAGCTGTGTGGTTGATTTTTTTTTTCGTGCTGGAATTGAGGAAATAAAAAAATTATATTTGTTGTTAACATATTATAATTGTATTTATTATTTTTGGAACAACTCTAGTTTGGTAAAAACTATTCGAACGAATTTTTTCCCAGAGGTAGGTATTTTTACACTGATTCTGGGAAACTGTTTTTTTCTTGGGGAACGGACCCGGCCATAACTCCTTAAATATTGAGTTTTCGGCGTTTTTAGCTATTATTTGTGATCACTTCTTTAAGTGTGAATTAATAAGAATTTTAAAATGGCCATAACTCCTTAAATATTGAGTTTTCGGCGTTTTTAGCTATTATTTGTGATAACTTTTTTAAGTGTGAATTAATCAATATTTAAAATGGCCATAACTCCTTAAATATTTAGTTTTTGGCGTTTTAGCTATTATTTGTGATCACTAATCTACGTACGAATTATTAAATATTTTAAAATGGCCATAACTCATTAAATATTGCATTTAATTAAGTGAGTTTTCGGCGTTTTTAGCTATTATTTGTGATCACTTGTTTAAGTGTGAATTAATAAGAATTTTAAAATGGCCATAACTCATTAAATATTGCATTTAATTAAGTGTGAATTAATCAATATTTAAATGACCATAACTTCTTAAATATTGAGTTTTCGGCGTTTTTAGCTATTATTTGTGATCACTTTCTTGAACAGAAAGTCCGGGTTCAAGACCCGGCCTGGACCCGGATAAATACAATATGTTTATTGTTGGAAAGCTTATGAAAATACCTATCCAACAAGTGGTCACAGGTCAAATGATCGATTTTTTGGACCCGGATTTTTTATAAAACCCCCAAAAAGTCCAAAAATGGCCCATTATGGGGGTGCTGAGATGCATCAACGCTTGGGAACATTGATATATCATAAATGTTTAAATGTTTTTTCAAAAATAAGTAGATTTTAAAATATTTTCTAATACGATGTAAATCGGAGATTGTTATTTCCATGCAACAAGTTGTTTTAATTTATTCAATATTTTTCCTCATTATTAAAATCAGTTAAACAGCGGGAAAATGTATTAAATGCCTGGATTTTCTTTCAAAAATATGAGCAATGTACGCGTCTTCCAATCATTGAGTTTGAAAATATTCTGTTTTTATTTTTCAAATCAATATATACATATACAAAAATGGCAGAAGTCGGGCTCACTTAGAAAAAAATTGGTATCAGCTGGTAGCTCTACCTTACCTTTATATTGTACCATGGTTATAATATGAATTTTTCCACAATTTTTACAAATTTCAATAATTTTTAATTCAACATTTTTAATTCCAGAATCAATTTGACAGTTCATTGTTCCAGCAGCTGTATCGATGCAACTACCTGTATACTTCTACAATGCTTTCGCCTCAAGCATCAATTTTGACATTTCATCTGATAAAATGACAGCTGTTTTTAGATTAATTCGCTCGAAGAAAGACCTTATAATTTGGCCATGGAACATACCATGGCAGAAGAATACAGGTAGATGCATCAACGCTTAGGAGCATTGATATGTCAAAAAAATTTTAATGTTTTTTCAAATATAAGTAGATTTTTATATGTTTTCTTATACTTCGTCATTCGGAGTCTATTATAATTCGCGTTTTTCAACAATTTTTACAAATTTAAATAGTTTTTCATTCAACATTTTCAATTTCAAAATTGGTTTGACATTTCATTGTCCCAGCAGCTGTGTCGACGCGTCTACCTATATTCTTCTACCATGGAACATACCATACATATTTGATTTGGAGCGACTTGCTTTTCGATTAATCGATTGTGGAAAAGTGAAAATCGAAAACTCGAATTTTTCTAATCGATTTTCGATTTTGTAATTAAATATACTTGTCGACATTTCATTTATTATCATCATGTATCGCCAATAAGCGAAAGTCAAGAGCGGAAAAATAAAAAAACCAAAGCAAAAAATATAAGTTAGCTAACGGCCGCGCTAACGTGTTATTCCAAAATAAATATAAACAAAACCTATTATCGATGCAAATTGAGTTACAAAAAAGTGAAATAAGATAATAAATATAAAAAGAAAATTATTGAGAATATATGCTTAGAGAATTTTAGAGTGCAACATAACCAAAGTAGAAATTTAAGTCATTTGTTTGTGAAATATTTTTAAAAATTTTCTATTAGACTAGGCTTGGAAAAGAAAGTGTATGGAAAATGTGGAAAATATTTGAAATGCTGATATTTCTAATGGTGCTATGTGCACAACACCGACACGCATTGGCTGATGGCAAGTGGGGTAAGTGGCTATATTTTGCTTTTCTTTCGTCGTTTTGCCAATCACAAATGTCAGGTGATGAATTTTTCTATTTCTACCTTCACACGTATTATACAATCGCTTGTCGCTTCCAATTTATTTGCCAAGAAAAAAACAGTAATGTTAGGTGGTTGTTAAATAATTTAAATAATAGATTTAGACGAAATCGACATTGTGACCCATTCCAGACACATCTTCAAAAACATCTGTTACGAAAAAACGTGCAATTTAGCAAGGCCTATCAGTTTCAACCTGCTTTTCTGTTTATATTTGGTCGCTGTGTGTGGTATATGCCTTGGAGTTTTATGTGTGGGTTTATAAGAATATAATTTTTAATTGCATACCAGCCTTTGGAATTTGAATTGATATTTACAATTTTTCTCATTAATTTTAGACCAAATATATATCTTCATAGAAACTTAATAAAATAATATGTTATGTAACAATGTCTTCATAAAGATAACATTTCTGCAAACAGAACGAAATGCACCGTATTGATGGCGTCGCATAAACAATAAATTATTCTACATTTTATGAGTATTTTCATGTCGAGTGGTAATTCTCTTGACAACAATTTGCTCACAATATATAAAGTATCGCGATTCCGAGGCCGGCGAAGATTACAGCTTTTTTTCTACAAGATTACTTTTTCATTCAAACTTCTGCCAGTGTTAAAATTTGTGTGGAATGTGACTTCTTTTCCAATTGTGATACATACATGCAGGTTATGCAAAATAGGTGCTCTTATTTCCGATTTAAACTGTATATATAATGATGCTGTTCAATTCCAATTTTGCGACAAAACGTTTCAGTTCAATATTGCTTGTTTCAACATATTCAATGGATTTGTTTAGACATGTTAACCATACAAAAAAGACTACTAATGTCAGATCACAAAAATGACAATATTTATCACTGTTTAATGTCCCTGTCCCTGTCTATGAGGATCAATCTAGACTAAAATGTTCAGTAGTAATAGCAATATCTTATCAATAAAATATCTTAAGCTAGGTAATACTTTCATTGTCACACATGATTTGACCATGACCAAATAGTAAAGATTTGGCTACGGTGTTTTCTATCAAAAACTCTTTAAGTATTTATAAAATAAGAAATTGATTGTTTCTTCTTTTGAAATGGTATCATCGATATTACATTTTATTTTACATCGAAAATTACCTTAATGTATGCCTTATCCGGTCTCTAATATTATTCAACGTCTATGCCAATAAAGTGTGAACTTGGATGCATTAGATTGTACCGGGAAATCAGTATATCGTTTAGTTTTTTAATTAAAATTCATATAAAATAAATTCTAGTCGAATACGATTTTTGCTTATATGTGGTCTGTTCCAGAACTGCAAGAACGTACAAATTTTTACTACGATAACCGATTTCTCCTTTGTTATATCGAAACAAATTGCAAAAATAATAGATTCTTGCAGGTTTTGGAACAGAGCAATGTTTTATCCATGGTACCACAACAGGAACTAAAGTAAAGCTTTAGTGCTCCTATTTTGCCAAAACATATACACATTCTTATATGCGTGTATTGTTGTTTTGAATATAGAAAATATATCAAATTCAGTTGCAACAACCCATTATATTTTCGTCGTAATGAACGATAAATTTTAGAATTTTGCAATACAAGAGTATTGTCATTATATCTAGGATTCAATTTTGTGTAATAATCCCAAGATTTATAAGAATTTTGTAATAAATATGTAAAATAAACAAAACTAATTCTTGCTTGCTTTAAAAGTGTATTTGGCACCATAAAATTTTAGTACAAAGTTGAGTTTTTTCTAGTGCCTTTGAATTTCTGGTTGTGCCACAAAAAAGGAAATTTGATATTTGAAAATAAATTATCGCTAACCGCTTTTGTACAGGGAGAGATAAAAAAAACAGCAACAAAGTCAAATTTGATATTTGAAAATAAATTATCGCTAACCGCTTTTTGTACAGGGAGAGATAAAAAAAACTGCAACAAAGTCAAAAGCCATAATTTTTACATATTTTTTTAATTTATTGAATGAAAGCAAAAAATGTCGGAAATTGCACCAAGTTATAGAATAAGTTTAGATTTATTCGAATTGGTCACCTTTGGCACGAAATATGGCCTTCAAACGGCCAATGAAACCGTCACACGCTGGCCGAATGTTGCTCTGCGGTATTTTGGGCCTTTTCCGGCGAAGCGCTTGCTTGAGGTGATCCACACTTTGGTATTTTTTAGTGCCAACTATGCTTTCCAAAATACTCCAGACACAATAGTCCAACGGATTGGTATCCGGAGATTATAGTGGCCATTGTGCGCTGGAAATGAAGCGAGGAACCTAAATTTGTAGCCATTCTTGGGTGGCACGTGCTGAGTGCGATGGTACTGAGGCCACAATGTTTATCTTTCCAAGTCTTTAATACACCCTTCAGAATATTTTCGCGATAATATTCGGCATTTATTCTGATGCCACAGTCTATTAATACGAGCGGAGAGCGATCATCGACCATCATTTTTTTGTTTACAAACTGCTGGACAACAAATGTTTTCTAATCGGAGAAAACCAAATGCACCAGTTCACCACTTTTGGCCAAAGAAGCAACTCTTTAGTTCTTTTGAGTCTACTCTTCTTTCTGTTGCGGTGTAAGTTCTCAGCTCATTTTTCAATATTTGCCGAATGGAATATTGCGATATGTTCAGCTCACGAGCCATTTTTCGGCCACTGCGACGTGGGTTTCGATCATGTAGCTGTAGTCTTTACTTTTCGAAGCATTTCTGCTGATATTGCTGTCTTCTTCCGTCCACTTCCTTGACGTCGGGCTAAGCTACCAGTATCACGGTAACGATCGATGGTACGAGACACAAAAGATTTATTCACATTCAAATGCTGGAGTTCTCTAACGATAGCCACTTGTGGTTTTCCAGCCAAATATGAAGAAATCACACTATCACGCTTGAATTCCATCACGAGCAACTTTATTTCTGGAAAATTCTCACCAAAATGCTTTTGTACGCTTCTAAACAATATAATGAGCTGTCACTGGAATAATTTAAACAGCTGTCGGACGAGTGGCTTAGAAATGAGAGCAGTCTGAAGTTGGTTGAAGTTTTTTCATTTCACCCTGTATTCTGAGCCATGGTGTGCCAGTTCAACAGCCAACCTGTTTCCTAAAATATGGAGGATTTTTTCCCTAGGACTTTTTAAAGCGTCTATCCCACTAGATAATTTTGCAGTCCTAAATGTGTAGGTCATAAGCAACTTTAGATCTTATATATTCGAAAATCACGTATTGAAATCCCTAGGATCTTTAATCGTATTGATACTCCCAAACAATGTGCATACATTGGAACTTCTTCCGCCGGAGCTCGGAACAACCGTATATTAAAATAATCAAATTGTTATTGAGATCGTCATAAATGTATTACGTTGCGAATGCGCAAATGTACATGTCAATGACTGACAAAAAAAACAGAATAAATACATTTTTATTCAGAAAAAATAAATTACTTTGCGTCATTCCTACTGATTCTATTTTGTCGGAATCTTCGTACTGAAAGCACTTAGTAGATTATTTTAAAATAGTAAACAAAACGCCACTGAGACTTCCAGGCCAGTACAAGTTAGTGAATGGAGTGCAACTTTCAAGTCTACTGATTTTGTTTATATTCCAATATTTATTTTGGAATATTTGTATTTGGTATGTTTGTTGGTGTGTAGTCTATGTGTGGTAGCAAAATGTCGTATCACAGTCAATGTCTTATCTCGTATATTCACATCCATCCAACGATTCAGGTTAATGAGAACTAGACGACATAAACACATAGAAAAGACGAAAGAAGAAATCCACTTGAAAGACGAGAGGGAAAAAGAAAACGTCTACTTTTTTACGAAAACGTTTGCAAAACATAACATAGCTATTAGCTTTGCTTTTTGCCGGGTAATTCGTTGCCGCTTGATTATACGTGACCAAGCAGATATCAGAAATGGCGTTGATGGTTCAATATCTGCATGCATACATATTCTGCGTACACAGCGATACAGAACCGATTTATCCCCCCATGTGCTTGTGGTTTTTACATCAAATTCATTTTCATATGGATAAAAACTTAATTTGACGTTCGGCAGGTTCGCTGAATTATAAAAACATTTTAGCGCGTATATTGCATTTCTACTCAAAGCCTCTACTAATTTTTTACTTTATTTACCCCTAGTTTAGTAAAAACTCCCTGATTTTTTTTTTAAATTTTTCTACAGAGTGGTAGATGTAAACAGATTCGAATCTATTCATCCTGAAGAAAAAAATCTTTATCGGAATTATGGTACAAATACCAATGGAAAAGTATAAAAAATCTAGGAATTTTCACTGCAGGTGAACAATCATTTCACTTTTAGGCCTTGTGCACTTATCAAATCTTTAATTCCGCCCATGGATTGCATTTAAAGCAAAACTCGGCGTGTGTTGGTGTAAGAATAAAAGTTAATGTGAATATGCAAAAATATGAGACTCTCAACACGATACACAAACACAATTTGCCATGTAAGCAGGTTCTTTATACGTCAGTCAGCCAACACTTCGAATTTGAGTATTTTGTATCGGCTGCAAAACAAAAACGAAATAAGCAAAATCAGCTAGAAACAATACTTTGAAATAATTTGCATTTCAGGTAGCGATCAAGAGTATAATCGTCGCCAAACGTGTCTGGAGACGGGTCATAACATAGAGAGACAATGTTGGGTCCATAAACGAATAGGTATAGGCGAAGAAATACTCTCACTAAGTATGTTCAAGTGGAGCGAAGCATGCGGCTGATTTTCGATTGTCAATAAATAAACATTTTTGAACTATAAAACTACATATGATTAGTTTCATGGTAGAAATACCAGGTAGCAACATAGGCGAAAATTACAACAAAGCAACTTTTTTAGAAACTTGATATGTCAAAGTTTTAACCAGGGCGAATTTATTTGAAGTATAAAATTTGGGGC